ATGCAATTTCTTTTTTTTTTTTTTAAAAATAAAATAAAAAATACACTAGTGAAATGTTGTGTTTTTATACCACTACTAGCGACCCAAATACCTAAATGCAACACACATATATGTATATTTAAGTATTTCAACATCTTTATGAAATTTTGACTATAAAATATAAATTTTCATAAATTTAATATATTTATTCGGGTCACCTGTTTTTTTTAGTTAACTCAATTCTAATTATTGTTATGAGGTGATTTGGCTCTCTTTATATTTCTACAAACTTTAACTCTTTAAGCCGATCTTAAGACTTATTCGAAATGTAGGACAAGTCAGAGATGAAAATATTTAAATCTCTTCTAAAAATATCATGTGAAAATTATACCGAGACTCTTTATTTTTTACTTACTTGCCCCTTTACTGCCAACTGAATTTGTTACTAAAGAGGAATCAACTGGTATAAACAATTGAATGAACCAATAAATTGGCATCCTTGACAGAGTTAATGTCTAGATCCAATTTAATAACATTGCTCTCAATTAGTTTCTTAAGTGGGCTGGTCACCCAACTCAACTTCAATTAATTATTCCCTTAAGTGGATTATCCAACTCGACCTGGATTAATTGAATTTTAAAATTCTTTCAGGTACCAAGGTCCGAAACTAACAATAACATATCCATATCAAATAAACACATTTCAAGTTCTAAAACAAGTAAATCGAAAGGTGTTGGACAGAATTTTTTTTTATAAATATTTTAGTTGATTAAAAGTTGGGTTATCCCTAAATAATTAAGATAATGGACACAAATATTCTTTCCATCCGTCATCTGCAGATGGAGCTATTTGCTAATTTGGCACGAACTGTCCTCGGATCCATTTCACATGGCTCGTGGTGCGAAAGAGAATACGTTTACTGCGTCTGTTGATTCCACCAAATGATCAATGAGCGCGAACGCGGTGGTGTTTATTATTGCTAAACAATTAAGCTTTGAAAAATAGGCTACGAATAATATACAAAGCTAATATATTATTGCTTCTGTTTATTAAAGAAGACGTCATATATAATAAAACCGCTGAAAATATTGGAGCCGTACAAACTGCAAAGCTCTTATTTATTCTCAATATATGTCACACTATTATTTATGTATTTCAAGAACTGCCATCATCTTCACACATAGCGTTACTCCTTTTGAGTGACTTACGTATTTAAATCACCAAAGTTGATGGCTCCGTTAGTGTTGCCTTCGGTGACGCCTGTTTGATTACTCAAACCTTTTATATTCTGATGACCAGTGTTGTTATATTTTCCAGACATGCGATTCCTTCTAGGCACGAGAGTAGGATCGAAATTGGGTGGCCTTGAAGGTGGTGGTGTATTTTGAGATTCACCATCATCGATGCTATTTAGCACTCCAACAAGACCCTTGAGTGCATCGAGTTTTTGTTGAAGGTCAGCCATGGCATATGCTAATTTATATATACGATCTGACTAGAGATTGATTTATTTCTGAGCATACCAAAACTCTTCTTTTATAGATGCAGAGGAGGAATGATAGTTCTCATACATAATATGCAAAGTGCTAACTTAGTAGCGAAGGATGGACCATCTATGAATGGAAGAATATATTATCTATCAAATAAAGTTATTCATGGTGGAGAATAAAGTTCCATTTGATGGCATATTTATTATTCAACCAAAAAAAAAAATAATGCAAAACAAAAGCATCTTCATATTCACATTATCTGTATGGCTAAATTTTTTTCCTTTCTTATTGAAATAAATTTAGGGAAATATAACAATCATGTTTTCATTCCTGTAACAAGGATCCGCAACGTATCTTGAGGATACGGCGCCACCATATGTGCCAACTCATTTGAGTACTCTTGTAATGATGAAATTGAAAGTTTTAAGAGATTCAATAAACAGTTTGACAAATAAACCTCACAAATAGTTGTCAGTTGTCACTAGGTTTTTTTTTTTTTTTTAATACAATGGTTTTAATCTCTAAAGCACAGACACGAACTTTTTTAAAAAATTTGCGTGTCGGACACGTGTCTGACACGGACACGTTTCGACACGTGTCTGACACGGACACGTTTCGACACGTTCGGACACGTGTCCGACACGTAGTCAACATTTGGAGACATGTTGACTAGTGGGACACGCAAATTTGACCGAATCCGACACGCGGTCAACGATGTGGACACGTTTTGGGACACATTTTGATTTTTTTTTTAAAATAAAATAAAATTATAATTAAAAACTGTAGAAGGTACATGACGTGGTGTACTTGTAAGCTGAATCTAATTATATTGACCACTGGTTTATTGAACGCTGGTTTATGTACCACTATCGTTTGAACGCTGGTTTATTTCCGTCGTCGGTTGCTGGTTCTGGTTTGGGAAGTTGAAGAGAGAGAGAGAAGGGTACCGAGGAGGAAGACAACTTTATAAAGTTGGTCCTGTATCCATTTGCCGAAAGACAATAATACCCTACCTCTCTCTCTTCTGCAATTAAGAAAGCTAGGTGACATTAAAATTTAGTAAATATATGTTCTCTTATTTTATTTTTATTTTAATTAATTTGTAATCAAAGGTTTTTCTTAAAGAATATATGTAATTGATCTGTGTGTTATCATAACTGAAATAATTTTTTTATTTTTCTATACTCTACACTCTTGGGATGTTCTATTTTTTTTTAATAATTATGTTATGAAATTTGTATATTTGATTAGTATATGAGTTATTATGAGTTGTTATATGTATTAAATGTAAATTATATTATATATATTAAAAATATTATTTAATATCAAAATGTGTCCCAACGTGTCGAAATTTAGCATTTTTTAGAATTAACGTGTCGGGGTGTCGTGTCGTGTCGTGTCTCGTGTCCCGTGTCCGTGTCCGTGCATCATTGGTGATAATTGAACACAACATAATACAACCTACCTAAACCCTAAACCCCTCACTACTAGATCAATCCTAATGACTTTGTCCGAGTACTTTTCTGCATATATAGATCTGAATATCATTCCATGATTTCCAGCCTGATTCAACTTTTAGCTGTTGCAAAGCTTGAATTTCTGGATCTTGTATTCAAAATATGGATTGCTTTTTTTTTTTTTTTTTGAGTTAACCCAAACTTAATTATTTTTTTAAGGCGAGTTGGTTTTCCATGATATTCTTACAAGACTAATTCAGAATGTGAGTGACATGTGAAAATCGAACTAAGATCATTTCTTTTTCACTTACTCAACTCCTTTACTACGGACTAAATTACCACTCTTTCGATAAAGTATGGACTGCTTGATTGTTTAATTTGTTCTATATCGTGGTCTTGAACATGCTGTCGCTGTTACTGTTTTTTTTTCTCTGATGAGGTCTTTCTTAAGCTGGGTTGACCAAAGTTGTGAAGGATTTTGTGTACGGAAAATGATTCATAGAGTTGTCTTGCCTCACATATTACAGTATCATACAGGAATGGTATTGGGGGCGTGGGTGGGTTGGTTGAGAAAAAAGAGAGTGAAAAAGAAAGGAAAATGAATGGCTAAGATGATGGTATGCAGTTTGTGTTAAAGATTAATCAACCTATCCGTGGGATGAAACAAACATACAGGCCCTATTCCATAGAAAGGATGTCTGTCATTAAGGCCAGTGTTACGGTGACAAGGAAAAAATGAAGTGTGGCTGCTGGGATTCGAGCCCAGGTCTCCACGGCCACAACGTGGAATTCTCACCACTAAACTACAGCCACTTCGTTGGTAACAGGATTTCACAAGTACTATCTACACTAAAAAACAAAAAAGAAGCATCACAAAAAACATATAAATGAAATAAGTAAAATTCAATAAAGTGTTATGACGTAATAATCTAATACAATTGTAGCGTTTTTCCAAATAATTTTTTCTTACCAATTTATGTTAAATATTTTGAAATTTTTTATTATGTTAATTTTATGACAGTAATGGTGAAATTTAGAAACTTCTCCGTATTTTGAAAAAATTTAATATATTACCTCCTTATTATATCCCATCAATAGAAGTATATACATACAGAAAAAAATTAATATTATAACTATGTATTTTGAGAAATATATATTTTATAAATTTGTTTTAAATGAAAGTCGTATCCAGTATTCAGGGCGATTACCAATGCTATATTTTCATAGGTGCTAGTAGATTAATCCCAACAGGAAGGTAATTCCTATTCATATCAAATGTGCTGGAACTTCTATGAGCAAAATCTGAGTTTGTTTTAATAGTTGCATATAAGTGTAAATTCACACATAAATATTTATTAATTAATATTATCATATACATTAAAATAAATCAATAATAAATACAATTTTACCAATGATTAGCCGCAATGGAAGAAAATTGCAACTGTTTGAATCTTGGCTAGTTAGTAAAAAAAAAAAAAAACTTTACTTGCAGTGTGTCGTTTGGTAGCCATATTTTTCAGAATTTTCGAGAAATTGAATTTTTTTAAATTTTTAATTTTTGGATATTATAGTAAACTAAAATTTTTTATTATATTTCTGAAAATCGAAATTTTCGGATAAAAAAAAATTCTCCTCGCAGGAACAAGTTTTTATTTTGATCATATAACAGTTAGACACGCTTAACTCTGTCTTCACTATTCGAAGCAGGGAACAAGGTTTTAATCGCTCGCATAACAGTTTCAAGCTGGTCCTACTGTAAATTCATATAATGTTCCTCAGAAATGTATCAAATCAATTGTTTCCTCGGGATCTTGTTGAAGAAACTATTCAAAGACCTAGCATGTTTGATACCATAACTTTCTTGAACGAGTTACGAAAGGATATGCTCAGGCTCTGTACCCACTATTTTTTTACTTAATATAATTGATAGAAACGTCTCCGAACACAAACTAATGAAATCATATAGAAGGAGGAAATCCAAACAACTTGATAATTTCCTCTCCCTACTCCAATATTAACTTGGCTTTTTTTTTTTAATCGTCTTCCAACTTCAAAATTCACAAACTACGGTTCTTTTCTTCTTTTCGCTGAAACAAAAGCTAAGATGAATGGAGGAGAGACTTGAACAAAATATGAGGTTCCCAACACATGCACTACCTACGTGCTTGAGATTTTGCTAAGAGGTAGCATTCCTTTATTATTTTCCCCAGCTCTAGTTTACACTATTATTCTTCTAGGTAATAGATATTTCATACAATATTTTACGCTGTAAATGGCCAAACAGAACAAGTTGTGCAGGCTTTGATTATTTTATGCATACATCAAAGTATGGTTTCTTGAACAAAATCAGACATTTCCACGGCTCATGTTCCAAAACTCAACTTCATGCTCAAGAACACTCAGTAATACAACTTCAGCCTTTTTGAGTTCATCGTCAGAAGCCTTTTGTAAGCGCCGATTGGCAATCTTTTGAAGAGATTGGCAATACTGACCAAAACCCTCATTGCCCCATCTTGCACAAGTCTCCTTCAGCTCTGCTGGGGTTTCGGAGCCTTCTCCAATACAGTGGGCAAAGCTCTCTTGATACACTGCTTCAATGGCCCAAAACGCTGTAATAGCCACAGTATATTCCACATCTGGACTCATTAAACTTTCCAGAAACCTGTCACAGCATACACACAGTTGCCTGCTTTAAACAGTTACAATACAATAATCCTTGCAGGAAAAAGTAGCATATAATTTGTCTAAAACCCCACATATCCCATCTGTATAGTGTGGTTCCTTCCAGGCTTCTCAGAAAATTCTAGACTTCATTTTTTTTATACTTTTTTTTTTTTCCAATTAGATTAGGATCCAAGAAAGGATCAATCCTTTATGATCATAATTTCACCCTCACTATTGGGCCACTAGTCCATAGCTAATTGAGTTTGGCATACTAGGCTGTTTTTAATTCTATATCTTGCTACAAATTAAATCCATATTTTCAAGGATATCGAAAGTTACATGTATATCTTATCCCTCTAGTCCCAAATTAGAACCCTCCACCTTCCAATTGGTAAATATTTGGGAGAACTATTTCTCGGGCAATCATCAGTTCTAATCCCAAGATCAAAACTAAATTGTAAAGACAATGGTAGATATCATGATAGCTGAATTGAGTATGATGACAGATGATTAAAAAGCCTACCGACAATAGTTTATGTTTGCCTGCTGAGGAACAACGTCAGAATATGGAATACCCCACTTGTTGGCTTCTTTTTTAAACCACGAAATCTCATCCTCCAGAGAAGCCATGCCCCCCAATATGACTTCCATGTCAGCACTGTCATCTGATTCCTTCCAAGCTTTAATCAGCACACTCGCAACAAATGGGACAAACGCTCTAACGAACAAGTAATCTTGTGCCTGAATAGCATGTATGGAAGAATTATAACAACAGTTAATCAAGGCCTGTTTAGTGTCCAACCACTCAATCAAAAAAGATTAATTGAGTCATATTACAACGACTTCATTCAAAATTGCAAACATTTATTACATATTAACCGGAAGTCAACATCAGAAACAAATAATCTGACAAAGGAAGTTAAAATTACAAATTTTACCAGCCAAGTTTTGAAGGAAGCAATGTGGATGGTGCCATCACGAATGCTAAGAATAAGAGGGTGTCTGGTGGCTGCGGTGTAGACAAGACGATGCTTCCTCAACCAAGCCTCGATCATGCCGATCTTCTTCTCTTCAGATTTTGCCTTTTCCTCCATGTTCTCGCTTCTTCTCAGTTGTTCTTCCTCCTTTTCTCAAATGTTATCCATCGGTGCTCTTCTTTCTAGAATTTGACTATCTAGCGGTGCCGTCAGGACTGGCAAATTAGGACACAGCACCGATCTATTTTATTTTTTTTTAAAAATAGAATTAAAATTCTAACAATTTATTAGATAAAATTAAGGGTATGATGTTTTTACTTTTTACACCCTTACGTTTCTCTCACAGATCAATTCCACACACTAGAATTAATTTTTTTACCGTGATTTTTTTGTAACCAATGAAAGTGGTGGTGCTCAATCAGAAAATATGACCAAACGTCCGTTTCGTTAGACCAAACCCCTTACAATATACCCTTTGGTACACTATATTGCTATTTATGAAATAAACATGAGAATTAAATAAGTTAAAATAAATTTATTACTTATTTTTCAAAGTAAATAAAAAATCCAACGATGACTTGCAACCACCTTTGACTGTAGTGTAATAATCGAGGTCCTAATTCCTTTATATTTCCCTCGTTGAAGTTTTTTTTTTTTTTTTTTTTTTTACCAGTTCATCATTTAAACTGGAATTACTCATACAAGTTAATTTACGTGTTTGGTAATTTTTATATAATAATAAGAAAAACTGGTAAGTGAGCGGATGTGTGAATTGGCATATTGATATCCGATTCATGCATCGAGTCAGCATCTCTAAAGTTTGACAACTCGCGAACCAAATTAATGTTAGGCCAGATTTTATCAAATTTAACTTGATTATCCAAATTAAAACAAACCAATTATTCTGCTTTAAAAAAACCAAACCAGGTAAAAAAATTTAAATTAAGAAAATACGAAAATAAAATGATTTGGATTGATAAGTTATTATAAATTCATAAATAAATATGAGCTTTGGTTTTTTTATGTTGCAGGAAGGGAAACATTCTCCTACAACCCCTACAAACAAATTTTTTTATCTACTGGAACATAAGATACGTAATAAGATAAGTAATTTCTTAAATTATTATATATTTTTATTTGAATTACAATATTTAAATTTTGGGATATATTTTTTTTATGTTAAAAGAAAAAAATTATCTCATGTTGTAGAAATAAAAGAATAAATGAGACTCACAAGTAAGAGGAGAGAAAAAAAAGAATGATAAAATCTAACCTCTTTTTATGTATGTTGAAAAATTATTTATCTCATATAAAATAAGATAAACATAATCCTTAAATTTTTTACAAACAAACCAATTGAATTAGTTTTGATTAGTTTCAGGGTATATGTGGTCAACTAGTTCGAATGACGGCAAATCAAGTAAGATCCAGGTGGAGCAAACAAGAGGTACGGTCATATCCAATAAAACAGAGACACGTAAGAAAACAAGCATCTCATGACGTGTCCATCCAAGAGCTAACCTAACCTCCAGAGTGAAGGTCTCCTCTATAATTTCCATTTCCATTAATATAAATATTTTTTTTTTTCTTCTGCAAATGCATTCTGTGTGATCCCGTTCCGTTTAGTTTTGGTTCCGTCGAATTTGGTGCGGTGAGTGATGGCGGACAAGTACAACCTCAAGAACCCCGCCGTGAAGCGGATTCTCCAGGAAGGCAAGGAGATGCAATCAAACCCTTCTGATGATTTCATGAGCCTGCCTCTTGAGGTTCTTTTACTCGTTTTCCCTCACCAATATTTTCGTTTCTCTGGGTTCCTCTTTTATTAATCTTAGGGTTTTCATTGTCTTATCTCTCTCTCATTTTCATTCTTCAATTTCGATTAATTCTTCAGCCACGGGGTTGGATTCAGCTCCTTGCGGCTCAGATCATTTTGCTATCTGTTCCAATTCAATGAATTCTTTTTATATTGTATTTCTTAAATATTGGTTTTGTAACTGTTTGCATCAAATGATTCATTAAGCTTCTCGATGTTGACGAATCGCGATTTAAAAAATAAAACAAAATAATAGAGGAGTTGTTACTAACTCTCTCTCTCTCTCTCTCTCTCTCTCTCTCTTCCCGGTGGTGGCTATGATTACTGTAGTCATTAAGAAATGGGATATGATTCGTGGGATTTCCTTACTTCTTTTATGAATTATGATAACGCATTCAAGTGGTTCCTTCTATTGTTTTCCTTATTATTCCAAACAAAAATGACAAAGTCTCTGGTTTATTTCGGAGAATTGTACACTCAGTGCTTTGTTTAATCAAACACATAAAATAAAAATGGGAGTGTTTTAGGCTTTTAGCTCATCCCTCCGAAATTATGGTCTACACTCATGCAAGCTAGAATTATGAAGCCTCTATCTATCTGTATTTATTTATATTTTTTTGTCTAATAGTTTACCCAACTTGATAAGTTTCTGAGACTGTTGTCCAATCACCCTATCTGTACTTTTTCTTCTTGCCATTGTCTGTATCAATCTATAACTTGTATACCTATGTGAAGCTTTGGAGCTTAGCATTTGATTATTGTGTGTCATTACTTTGTTTTTGTTGTGTTATAATTATTTTCTGAGCAACTTCAATTTCATGTTTGTTTTCAGGAAAATATATTTGAATGGCAATTTGCAATTAGGGGGCCTCGTGATACTGAATTTGAGGGTGGTATTTATCATGGACGGATCCAATTGCCTGCGGAATATCCATTCAAACCTCCTTCGTTTATGTTGTTGACAGTAAGATGTTGCCCTCTGGATTGAGTAGATTTTTGTGTTATTATGTTGATCTGCATATGGTTTTGGGTGCTTCTGTTTCATAAACTTTCTTTTATGTTTAAACTATTGAAACTTGGAAGTTCAATTTCTACATGCTTAAAATTTCACTATTATGCTGTACTAATTTCACTGTTATGCTGTCAGCCTAACGGTCGTTTTGAGACCCAAACCAAGATTTGCTTGAGCATATCAAATCATCACCCCGAGCATTGGCAACCATCATGGAGTGGTAAGTGGTATTTCTTTCCATTCTTGACTCAGTGCATATTCTAAACTATATTTCAAATCATAGTTGGGAGCACATTTATTATTCATATGTCATATATTGCTCATTTTGGATACACAGAATTACAGATACATACAGGACAATGGTTGTTTTGTACTTTTCTTTTAAATTTTGCTGTTTTTGCACTTATAGGACTGCCTGCTGGCTTTTTAGCTTTCTGTAAATATTGTTGTTTTCTATATAGGGTTGCCCTATGAGTAGGGACATAATTTTCCTGGATAAGCTAAGTTGACATTGTGTCAGCAAAAGAGAAAATATGATTTATTGAGAAAACACTTATCAAATTTAGTTGCTCTAAAAGTACATTCATACGTTTAGAATGGGAATATATCTGTTTTTCATTATTTAAGTTACCTTTTTTTTTCCCCTCCATCATATACATTACTTAATGACTATATACTCCAAGTTGTATAGACGTTCGTGACTCTTGTCGGTTAAAACCTTAAATTATAACCATTGAAGCTTCATACTTTGCCCTCTTTGATGGAAGAAGGTTATCACTTAGCTGATGTAAATTTCTTTGGCAGTAAGGACTGCTCTAGTTGCACTGATTGCATTCATGCCCACCAACCCAAATGGTGCGTTGGGCTCATTGGACTACAAGAAAGAAGAGAGGCGTGCCTTGGCCATTAAATCCCGTGAAGCATCTCCAAGATTTGGGACTCCTGAACGTCAAAAACTGATTGATGAGGTAAAATGTTGCTCATTGTTTTTTCCCCAGTGCATGTTTTCTGTAATATCTTGTGCTGATTGTATTGGGTAAAATGTTGCTTATTGTTTTTCCCTGGTGCTTGTTTTCTGTGATATCTTTTACTGATTGTACTTTGTTATCCCAGATACACGAGCATATGCTAAGCAAGGCACCCCCTGTTCCTCAACTTAGCCCCTCACTGGCTTCTGAAGAACAACCCAGAAATGAGGAGGTGGAGGCGCAGGTTAATATGCAAAATCCCGAGGCTTTAACTGCAGGAGAGGGGATTCCAGATCAATCAGGTGACAGAATAGTTGAAGAACAAGAACTCCTTGACAATGCTAATCCTAACCCTGCAGGAGAAGTTGAAGCTTCAACGGAGATTCCATCCGGGGTCTCAAGCAATCAGTTGCCCCAAAAGTCAAATACAAGGGTTCAAAAACCTGATGATCGATTATTCACATTAGCAGCAATTGGACTTACTATAGCAATTGTGGTCCTTTTGCTGAAGAAGTTTATTAAAGCTACGGAACATGGTCCAGTTTTCATGGATGGATCTTAAATGTATTTATTGCTAATGTTGGCTTCAAGATCAAGATTCTTAACCCTGTTAGTCGATAGGAGCTCTTATTCTAAACTGGAAGTGATATTTTATGATCCTTTGAATGTATTTGTAATCATGATAATATAAATAATTAAATATTCCACTGCGTTGTGTTCGTGAGCAAAGTTCTATTATGTGGTGTCAGCTACTCTCGAGTTTCTGCACCTAATGCCATATTGTTTGCATAACTATCCTAATTTTTGTTTTGCCTAAAAATTCTCATCAATGACCAGACTCAGGGTTAACCGCTTCATGGTTTATAATCAAAATTACTTAATGTTTTGCCTTATGACTAATTTAGGAAAGGTGGACCGGATAACGAGAGGTTGTACGGACGAGTAGGCAAACGTTAGCCTTCTTTGAGTTTTTTTCTTTGGGAAAATTAGGTTTTCTTTCTTTTGATTATTGATGAATTTAAATTATTTTTTATTTTAAAATTTGTATTTTTTTCGTCGAGAGATTAATATGTATTATATTTTAATTTTAATGTAAATAAGTCCGTTAGGGACAATTTTTCTTACTGAGTTTAAACACTTATTATAAACTTTAGAATTTAAAAAGACGAGATGAAATGTGGCTGCCAATTTTAAACCTTTAATATAGACTTTAGAACTTTAAATGTCAAAATGGATTGTTGAGTGAAATTTTAAAACTGAGAAAAGTAATACTTAAAACTTTATTTGATGGGGATTATTACTCTTACGTCACATTAAAAAAAAAAATTCACTTTATATTTTTTCTCTCTTTATGTTCTTTTTCCTCTCTTTTTTAAGTTGTAAGCTATATAGCACGGACTCGTGATTTTTCTCAAAATTTACGTGTCTGACACGGACACGTTCCGACACGCTCGGACACGCGGTCAACATTTGGGGACACGCGGTCAACTCTTCGACACGTTCGGACACGTTTTTCCGACACGCAGTCAACGTTTTCGGACACGCGGTCAACGCTCGGACACGTTTTTTTTTGTGTTTTTTTTATTTTTTTTTATTTTTTTTTTATCTTAATTTTTTTTTTTTTTTTGGTAAGCTTAATTTTATTTTTTAACTAAATATAAAAAAATAATTTATAAATTACTTTTTTTTCTGTTATGAAATTTGACATGAAAATTTAACAAAGTACGAAAAATTATTTTATTTATATTTATGTTATGAAATTTAAATATTTGATTGGTTATTTGACTTATTATGTACACTTATATGTATTAAATATAAATTATATTATATATATTAAAAAATTTATTTAATAACAAAACGTGTCCCAGCGTGTCGAAATATGACATTTTTTAAAATTAACGTGTCGGCGTGTCGTGTCGTGTCTCGTGTCCCGTGTCCGTGCATCATTGGTTGTAAGTATATGAGAGAATTTTTCTCTCATATAATATGAGAATAATATTCTCCTTATTTTATCTTCTAAATTTCTAAAATCATTAATAAATTGTTTAAAATTTGCTGCAAGTTGCAAAGAGAGAAAAAAAGATATGTGGAAGGCTTATTAAAAAAGTCATTAAAAGATTCTTTTACATTAAACACATTCATTATATTAGAAGACAAGAGCATACTTTTTGGAATTATAAGAGAGATAGTAGTAACTCAGTTGGCGCATGAGAGCTAAGCAGGTGGGGTGAAAACATGTGTTCGAATCTCTCCAATATCACTTTTGAGAGGGATTTAAAGCTTTAATCCTGGACCCGTCCCGAATCGGATTAGTTGCGAAGCAATGAACCGATTGAAATATTTTCAAAAAATATAAGAGCTGATAATTTAAACATATCTCACTATAATTTAAACATATATCAAGAAAAGAGAATAATTTATCTTTTTTTCTTCAAATAGCCAACTCGCCTCAAAGAGGTAATTAGGGTTGGGTAACTCCAAAAAAAAATAAAATAATAATACGTTCGACCAAAGCATTGACAACCACGTTATCTTGCGTTGTCACACCTACAGGTACATTTTGAATTATAATAGCTCAATACATTAATAACAACAACCGAAACAGTTTAAGTAGAAGACTGGCTAACATGTTTAAATAATAACGATACATTGGCGGGTGTGCGTGTGTTTTTTTAAAATTAAAAAATATGTTAAAAATTTTAATGCTATTCTCAAAAGAAAAAAATAAAAATAAAATTCAAAGACAGTTTTAATATTTGTTTATATTATCTGTATTTAAAAAGCAATGATTTTTTAAAAAATAATTAATTTTCCAAAAAAGATCATTACCAAAGATGAGAATAACTTATTAAATTCTTTTTAGGAAAATTACATCATAAAAGCATTGTTTTTAAACTAATTCAATCTCACTCATAATTAGACTTAGGTGGCTTACGGCGTGAGAGGAAACAAAGTGAATATCCCGTCATTTAGAGGCTTTTTTCTTTTCTTTTCTTCTGCGCAACCAAACATTTGAAAGTCTACGTTCTAGCATAATTAGATTTAGGGCTTGTTTAGTGTGACGTATAAAGCATGATAATATAAACTTATACTAAACATTATGACATTTTCAGTTGTTTAGTATGATCATCGTATAGTATAAGTTTATACAGCATAATCCCTTAATACATCAAAACGATGTATAACTTAATCCGGCCTAAGGGTGAAGGATAAAGCCTGATAAAAGATTGGTGTATTAACATCGTTGACTAATATAATTCTCAAAAATTATATTATTTTAATATTAATCTATTAAAATAAAAATTAATTTTACAATATATTAATTTTTAAAAATTAAATTTTTTTATTTTTATAAAAATTAATTTATATTATGAACACACTGATCAATAAATTTTTTTATAAAATTTAATATCATTGACATTTTTTGAAGAATATATAAATTCTTTATTAAAAGATATTTTTATTAAAAATATTTATTTTTATCATATATAGTATTATACATTGCATTACCAAATACTAGATGATATTATCTTATACAATATATTATTTTATACAATATCGTGTCAAACGCTGAATAGTATTAAAATTCAATCAGACCTTATACTATCAGGCTTTATCCTATGCTCTGCACCAAACATGCCCTTAAGTGGCTTACGGCGGGAAAGCATAATCGGTACATTTTTTTATCAATTTTTCATGTATGTAAATCAAATCTTATAACTATCTTCTATTATTTACAAGGATTAGCATGCAACCACAGGTCGGATCTTTTCATGAATTGCTCTGTAACAACCAAGACTGCAAAGGGGAAGTTTTGACTTGGAATCTCGATACTTGTACACATTAGTGCAGTTTTGACCTGCGCATTTTTCTCTGGGCAGAGGATAGCTGAAACAATCCATAACATAATCATTGCGGAAATGCAAGTTTCTAAAGCATATACATATATTAGAAATGTTCACAAAAAATAAAATAAAAAAAATCAATGATAACAACAATAATCAAAACTCCTTATGGTGAGAGACGAAGCTGCAAAGCTGTACCTGTTAGGCATCGTTTGGAAGATACTTGGTAGACCAATATCTTCAGAAAATGTTACAACAGTTCCTTTGGGACCCATAGTCCATCGAACAGTGTTTGATCCTAGATTGAAGGATTTGCTAGATTTTTCCTGCACAACACCAGCATGTTAGAACTTGAAACAATTTGCTAAGAGGAAGAAGTCAAGGTTGGTCATCAATCCAATCAAGACCTTAGCTAATTCATCCCTGCGCTTATTCATCTTTTCCTCTTTCTTCTTCCTACCAGATTCTTGACCAAGTATCTTCCTGATGGCTGCCGCCTACAAAAACACAATGCGAGAACTCATTTATTAGAACCATTGCCTAGAACTTGCATGTTGCATCACAATGCTATCCTACAATCTCAATTCCTAGATGTAAGAAAATCAAAATGACATCACATGCAAACCTCAGCCTCCCTAGCTGCCTTCTCTGATTGAATTTTACGTCTCTTTGCAGCCTCAGCTTTCTTGAGTTGCTGCTCCATTTCTGACGATTTGCCCTTCATCCCTTATTATCAACAAAGAAAATGAAAATATGATTCAATACCTCTTGTTCAAGCATGAACTCTGAAACAATGCAGGGAAAAATGCTTCAGATTACATTCCTCATAAAACTTCATTTAGTTTAATTAGTCTATTTAATAAGAAGGTATGTTATAGCTTTGAATTCATACTCATTGGTCCTCTTACATCAGTCTTACACAAGGCCTGACTTTAATTGTAAAATCTGTAAGGTAATTTTTTATGATCTCAAAAATTAATCACTACCCAAAACCTCATTTTCTTTTTAAAATTATTATTTCAATTATTAATTTTAAATTTTTAGATGCCATTTAAAAGCAATATGCACTACACAAAATACAGTCTATTATTGTTTATCCACTTTATATAAATAATAATAGTCACAGTTGTAATTATCCATAAAAAAACAAAATATATTAAGCAACTACAATAGCATCGATAAGTAAAAATGAATATAAATAAATAAATTTCTCACTGTTATCTGAGATGTCAATAATGCTTGCATCTGATCCAGATAAAGCATCTTTGGAAGAGTCAACTGTACAATTCCGATTAATGCGGGCACATTGCCTTCCACGTACAAGTAAATCAACATTTTTCCTCTTTGGCTTCTTCCTCTCTGATAGTGACTCATCACTTGATGTTGGGTCTTCTTCCACATAGTCATCATCCTCATATTTCTTCTTCGAGTTCAACTTCTTTTTACCATCTTTGATTGAGCCTGGTGTTAAAAGGTCTTTAAGATCATCAATCTGACTACTCTCAGCAACCTTACAAATGACATGTTCTTCTGTGCTTCCTCGGTTATCTTTATGGCGATTAACAACTCTTTTTGAGGCATTCAATGTTTCAAGAAAGTGAAGTTCTGCATCTTCATTATCTTCATCACTAGATCCCACGTCCAAGGCACATCTCTTGGGAATGCACTTGCCCTTACGGACATGCTCATGATTGACATTTAAACTTTGTCCAGTTGTCTTTCCTCTTTGTGAATGATTCTCTGCTGTAGAACCAGATTCGGTTCTAGAGGGCTTAAGAAATTTGTCCCCAAGGCCTCTCCTCTTATCCAAAAGATAGGCATCAATACCATCTGTCTCATCCTGCATGCATTGATCACTGATAGATAAGAAGCCTTTAAGGTTTATTACAAGTTATCAGAAGAAAATAAAGTTGGATAATATATGGAGTCAACATCTTGAGGTTAAATATTTCAGAGTCATCCAAAGGACACCAGAAGCCACTTTTGCAAATACTGAGTACAGCTACCAAACATTGAACAACCATAATTTTGACTTGCAAAACTATTCAATTCATTTCAAGGGAGAATGAGAACCTGTGATGGAAACAATTTAGAAGATCATTCAAATTATGGATTACCTGAGGCTTAGGCCCATCAGAACAAGGAGAAAAGTTTGTTATAAAAGAACCACAGTCGAAGCCTGTTTCTGTCTTTGACTTGGCATGAATAGTATGAGTAACACCCCCAAACTTGAGCTTTAGCTTCTTCAGCTTGTTGTCAGTTCCTAATCTATCAGAAGCAACCATTGTATCCCTCACATTTTCATTGTCAGCTTGTTTTGCAAAAGGTTCTACAAGTGACAGCCGATCAAAGTAACTCTGAAATAGTGTATCAGAATTAGCCCGAGGTCTGCGTGATACCCTAGTCCTTTTTCTCTTCATAGTGGAGTCAATAGCAAGCCCGTACCCACCAATGATTTCCATTAATAACAAAACTTTTTGCAGCTTTGGTGGCAGCAAATCAGCTTGCACGACAAGGACATATCAGCTAAAAGAAAATTAATTTGCAAGAAGAATTACAAAAGGAAGTTATATAATATAGAACTAAACCAACACAAGTTGATACTCTAAAAAAAAAAAACACACACACATAAACAAACCTGCGTTTTCAATAATTATGCTCACATTAGATTTCATCCACTATTTGGTTAGTGATAACTGATAAAACCAACTACAGGACAGAAGCAAATTTCTTTTCAAGCAATTCATTCAAGGAACAGCTCAACTAAGTGATACAGACAAATTGAGTAGCTAAACATCAACACATCAACGTCAACAACACCTTTATACCAAACTAGTTGGGGAAATTGAGTAGCTAAAAAGAACAAAAATTCAAGCACGCAAGTCATTATCAAAGTCTAGTTTCAAGAGAAGAGATTTTTTATTTTTTTTTATAAAAAAAGAAGAAGAAAGAACCATATTCCGCATTTTCTCCGCCTCCATCAATTTTATCAAGAAATTTTCAGTTAAAAACCGAATGGAGTGGAATCGCGATATACTTACAATAGCAACAGTATCAATACTTAAAAAAAAAATATGGTGGAAAGAACTCATAAAGTGTCTCTTTTGCTTCTGAAAGAATCAAGAGAACCTGTAATATAGAGTCGGAGTTCAAAGTGTGGCACGAAAATTGATTTAGTATTTACTCGATTTACGATTTTCCCTCTGAAACAGGTAACAATTGAAGGAGATGAAGTTCTTTCTAATTCCGATGGGTCAGTCCCGCAGAGAGAGAGAGAGAGAGAAGTGGATAAGGTGGACTACGGCCTACCCCGGGCCGGAGGGGCACTCCAAGGCCTTGATCCGTTACTGGACTATAGCCCAAATAGTTTCGTTAGAAATTGTAGGTCAAATATTGTGTTACGGAAAAAATGTTTGTAATTTTAAAGGATATAATTTTGTCTTATTTTAGATTTTAATTGTTGATTTTTGTGAATCAATGGTTAAGATTATTAAATTTTATTATGAATTATTAATTAATTAATAAGTTTGACCCAATAAATTCTAACAGTTGATTGATGAAAACTAATAATTAAGATCTAAAATAACACAAAATTATATCTTTTAAAACAACAAACATTTTTCGTCTATTAAACGCTATATTATAATTTTATGCTTAAAGAATATAAAAACAACTCAAAATAAAAGTACCAAATTCAATTTAAGAAAGTTGTTCACTAATCCATTTTTATTTTCACCTATGTAGCACTGATAGTGACATCAGACACGTGACACAACATGACACTCTGATATGTTAATTCTAAAAAATATTAGATTTTGACACGTTAGTACACGTTTTGATATTAAATAATATTTTTAATTTATGTAGTGTATATTATATTTAATATTCAATAATCTAACAAAAAAATTAAACTAAACTTATAATATTCACCAATTTTGCAAAGAAACATAAGATATATCAAATATTTATATTAAATTCAATAAAATGGTAATTGTAATTCAATAAATCTAATAGTTGGAACTAAAAACTCAACGCAACGCAACGCAACTTTTGAACGTTTTTTTAAATTTCTATAACGCGTGTCGGAGTGTCGAGGAGTGTGGAAGTGTCGGTGAGTGTCGGAAAGTGTCGGACACGACACATCAGAGTTTTTGAAGTGTCAATGCTTTATAAATTTTCACCATCTCTTTCTTTTCCTATGAGTAATGAACTTTTTTTTTTCTCTTCGTGTGATTTTAACTTAATGTTCATACAATGTTAATTTATTTAATTTTGAATAAAAACTATACCGTGTTTTTTAAATACCTATCTATTATTATTTAACATAATATATAGGTATCCAAGATTAGGATTGACAATAACGAGCCAACCTGTCGGGTTGGCTCGTAACCCGCCAAAAATGAGTCAGGTTGGGTTGGCAAAAATGAGCTGCCAACCTGACTCGTTTTAACCCGTGAAAAAACGAGACAACCCGCGGGTCAAACGAGCTAGCTCACGGGTTGAGTTTTTTTTTTTTTTTTTATAAAAAACACAAAATATAATATACAAAAATGGACAAAACTCACACATGTTATCATCATTTTTCTTTCTTCTCTAAACTTAAGTTCTTAATCTTCTCACATCCCTGCCATTCCATTTTTATATTGTTAAGCTGTGCTGGCTCTGTTTGGTTCAAATATCTTACCCACTTGGTAGCAAATGTTCTGATTGTTTATGGATGTTGATGCAAATTTGTTGTGAGGAAAATTCAAAACTAAAATATTTTGCTTTTGTTTCTCATTTTGTAACCCTTTGTTTAAGCTAATGGAAGCCACATAGCTGATGCATTAATACTACAGAGTCATTTATATAGGCTGAAAACGAGCCAACCCACGAGCCAATTTTCGAGCAAACTTGGAAGCTATTTTTTCAAGCCAACTCGGAAGCTATTTTTTCAAGCCAACCCACAAGCCATATTTTTTAGCCAACTCGCGAGCCAACCCTAACCCAACTCGGGTCGGGTTGGGTTGAATTTTCTGGCTCATTTTTTTTTTTGAGTCAACCCTAACTCGACTCGTTTTTTTCGGATTGAACGCGGGGTCGGGCCGGATTGGCCGTTTTGCCAACCCTATCCAAAATCATTAGTGGCGAAGACCATACAGTAGAAAAATAATTGGATGATTCCTTTCTTTCTCTTCTTTTTTTCCTTTTCTCTCAACTTTACTCTCTCCTCCCTCTTCACATTTCTTTCTACCCAGCAGTCGGGATCGCTGAATAATTGCTCCCATATAGTAAAGTCCCGTTAGTGGTGAAGACCATACAGTACAGATAACTGTAGTATTCGCCAATAAACAACATCCAAGATCACAGAGGCTCGGTAAACTAAGTTCATTGTCATTGTTCATTAATGCGTTAGTTCCAACATTAATGAGATCACATGAAACTATACCGATTTAGCTAAAAAAAAAACTACCGTACATCCGTTGTAGGTAAATCTCTATTAAAAGGGAAATTTTGCTGGACTTAACGAGAATTATAAAATAAAACATGGATTAAAATAATAAAAAAAATTCATTTTTAAATAATTCAATACTCTTCTTATATTTAAGAAATTTTTGATTTAAGTGCATGTTTGGATCTTCTCTTTTTTAAGTTAGAAGCTACTTATAAGCATAAGCTATGTCAAATAGGTTCTAAGTGCTTGTTTGGATCCTCTTATTTTTAAGCTAGAAGCTACTTATAAGCATAAGCTATGTCAAATAGGTTCTAAGTGCTTGTTTGGATCCTCTTATTTTTAAGCTAGAAGCTACTTATAAGCATAAGCTAGGCTAAACAGATTTTGAAAAACGCTCTTATAACGAAAAGCTCTTTTTTTTATACTGAAGAAAAAAGCTGAAAATTAAAAGCTCCTAGGAGGAGCTTTTTTTTAAGCTCTTATCTGTTTTTCTTGAATTGTGTGCTTTTTTTAAGAGTCTGTTTGGATTCTCTTATTTTTAAGTCAAAAGCTACTTATAAGCTAAAGCTAAAAAAAAGAGCTTAAAAAAAGAAGTTAAAAGCTGTTTGGAAATTATATAAAAAATTTATCTTAAAAATTACTTAAAAGCACATATTTCAAGAAAATTATCTCTCTCTATCTTTATCATTCTTCATTTAAAACAAAAGCACACAATTCAAGAAAAAAAAGATAAGAGCTTAAAAAAAAAGCTCCTCACATGAGCTTTTAGTTTGCAGCTTTTTTCTTCATTATAAAAAAAAGAGCTTTTCGTTATAAGAGTTTTTTCCAAAACCTGTTTGGCCTAGCTTATGCTTATAAGTAGCTTCTAGCTTAAAAAAGAGAGGATCCAAACAGGCACTTAAAATGAAGAGTGATAAAGATAGAGAAAGAAATAATTTTCTTGAAATATGTGCTTTTAACTAATTTTTAAGCTAAATTTTTTATGTAATTTTCAAACAGCTTTTACCTTCTTTTTTTATGTTCTTTTTTTAGCTTTAGCTTATAAGTAGCTTCTAGCTTAAAAATAAGAGGATCCAAACAAGCTCTAAGAAAAGCTCTTATAATAAAAAACTCTTTTTCTATAATAAAGAAAAAAGCTAAAGGCTCCTAGGAAGAGCTTTTTTGCTAAGTTCTTATTTGTTTTTCTTGAATTGTGTATATTTTTTTAAATGAAGAACTATAGATGTAGAGAGATAGTTTTTTGAAATATGTGATTTTAAATAACTTTTAAATTAAAAAATTTATGTAATTATCAAACAGCTTTTAATTTTTTTTTAATTTTAGCTTATAAGTAATTTTTAACTTAAAAAAAAAACCAAATAAACTCTTAAGGGGCTGTTTGGTATGAGTCATTTTTTAGAATTTCCGGGAAACTGGATTTTTTTAAATTTTAAATTTTTGGATATTATCGTATATTGAATGTAAAAATCATATTTTTAAAAATCGAGATTCCCGGACAAAAAAATTCCTCCTCTACCAAACGTCCTCTTTAGTCTCATGGTTCATGTTCTGGCCGACCCAGTTTATTAGTCCAGTAAGACCAGCCCAATATCAAGGGTTCATGTCACTTTAGCCCTACCAATTTTGCTGTGCCAGCACCATTATCTCTACTCCATGCAGCAGACTTTCTAACTTAAGATACCAATGTCTTAAAAAAAAAAAAAACACACTTTTGTTCTCCTCTGAAATAATCGTTGTGTCACTGTGTCACATACGACACGAGTAAAGCCTGGAATCAAAACAAACACATTTTTTTAGGTACATGACAAACACATATTATAGTGTTATGGGAAGTAAACGACAATCATTTTAACTAAAATCACACAATTATATATTTATACTCCTATTGCTTTGCACGTTGGTTAAATAAGTGAAGACTTCGGAGCAGTCACGCGGGTCATCATGGCATTGGGATTTGGGAGGGAAGGCCTGTTATTTTAACCCCATTCTACTCAAATTATACAATTACAAAGATACTGTTTGCTCTTTTAAAAAAAATGTATTTTAATCGATCCTTTCCTTTAATAATAAAAAAGGGAAAGACCGCAACTAATTATGGGACCTTAGTTGATGCAAGAGGAGGAGGTTGAGTGGGATGGGGGGGAAATTTTGGTTCGATCTGACACGTCCCATAATTCCATAGACGCTTCAAAGAGCCGCTTATAGGGATACCCAGAAGACCTCGCCTAATTAGGATTGATATTAAAAAAATTAAAAAAAAAAAGAAAAAGGGAAAGACCGCATAGAGAGTTATACGAGACCTGATTAAGAAGTAAAGTGCGATCAAAAGACGCATGGAATCTGATATTGTTTCTGTATTTCGTGCCATTTTCTAAGTAATGCAAAGTACTATATAAATAAGTTTAAAACCAATTTCTTACCAAAACTATTATTAATGTCATCCTCATCTCGAAGCTTGCGCAGAATCCTTCAGAGACTGGGAGCATTGTCTTGAAAACACTCTGCAGAAGCTTAGAGAGCATCCAAGGTGGTTTTCTTTCTGAATCTGAAAATTTCCAATGGCGTTTTGGTGGCCATTACTCGTTTTAGCATTCGCTTACGGTATCTGTAGGTTCCTTCTCATGCTCATTCCTCCCAAGGTTCCTTCCATCGATGTTGACGCTTCCGATGGTAATCTCTCTCTCGCTCTCTCTCTCGCTCTCTTTTTCCCTTCCTCACACGGAAATTTGTGGTGACGGTGAAGATGTGATGATGACAGTGTTGGACGATGGAAACCAAGCACAGGAGAACAGCTTCATATATGTGAGTTCTATTTCTCCTTTATCTGCTTTGGTTTGCAAATTCTATACGAAAAATCTTGCAAATCGTTGCATAGTAAAGTAACGTGTTTAATTATTAATCTGCTTCTGCATTTTGCACGATCGGTATTCGATAGGATTTGTATTTCTATTTGAAATTCGTTAATCAGTTTTATTTGAACATTAAAATGTGCATGTGATGTGATAAACATCATTTCTGCCTAGTCGATGCATTTCAGTAACTTTGTCTTGATCAAGCCATGTGAATGTTATGGCTTGGAGGTTTTGTTAAAGATGCTATGTATAAACTTTTTCGAAGGATTCACATCTTGCTGATAGTTGCAATTCAGGTACCTCCGAGGGGATCATCGCAGCAATCTGGCAAGATAGTTCAGTGCTATGAGCCAGCAACAATGAAATATTTGGGATATGTTCCTGCATTGACAATTGATGAGGTCAGTGAGTCCTGTGCTCATATAACAGGGGACTAATGGTTATGATTCATAGTGTTTGAATCTATTTCTCTTATCTAATCAACAATAATTTATTAAGAAGCATACTTTTTGTTTTTGAATAAATTATTTTGTGATTAGTGTTTAATGAAGCGTCATATTAAGAATTAATCTTTCATATCTAAAGAAATGAAGGAAAATATAAGACTTATGAAATCTACAAGGACATCATTGTCATGCAAGAATTATGCTGGCTGGTTGCGCTGAAGAAAATCTGACATGTCATATCTTCTAGCTAAACTTGTATACTAAATTCTCAAGTTTGTTGTCTACTTTGAAATACAAATTATATGGAATTCCTCTTATTTGTATGTCTGTTGCTCTTACAAATGGAAATGTGTCTTATTTCCTGAAGTTGACCATACTTTGGTTTCCATCAATTTATTTTATTGTTTATGAATGAGTACATGTGACTGCACTTAATGACAGTGCACTCAAAGCTACTAAGAGGAGAATATCGATGCAAAGAACCTGTTATTGCAGAGCATGCACCATAAAATACTGGTTCCTTGTTTTTGAGTAAATTTTTCAGAAGTAAAGCATTACCAGATTAACTAGAACTACTTTGCATGTATGGATAGGTCAAGGATCGAGTGGCAAAAGTAAGGAAGGCACAAAAAATGTGGGCAAAGTCCAGCTTCAAGCAAAGACGCTTGTTTTTGCGTATACTTTTGAAGTATATAATTAAACATCAAGCACTTATATGCGAGTAAGAACAATTATTTTCCATGGTAGTAGGAGGAATTTAAGTGTTAGTTATTTTAAACCATTATTCATTTATTTATTTATTTTTGCAATGCTTGGAAATGTTTGTGGTACAGACTGAACTTATAGTGTACTTATATGACATTCTGGGGAGTGTGCAAATCTTTAGTAACTTTACCCTCTGTTTTTAATTATCATTTTGTTTAATTCATTTGGTCTGAAATAGATGTGAATTGTGCTTATTGCATGAGTATATTGTTAACATATTCTAACTCGTGCTTTTATTAGAATATCCTCGCGCGATACTGGAAAGACAATGGTAGATGCCTCTTTAGGAGAAATAATGACAACATGCGAGAAGATCAATTGGCTACTGTCAGAGGGCGAGCAGTGGTTAAAGCCTGAATACCGGTGCCTGTTTCAATATTTTTTTCTATTATTTATATCTTTCCTCATTTCATTTAAACTTTAAATGAAATGATTTAAACCATGAAACACAATAGTAGTTCTGCATATATCTCTTATATTAAGTTGTTTTGCCATAATCCTCCTTTTCCCATTAGTTGACTCTTTTCTTTCTTTAAACTGATTATGTTGGATTATCTATTTCATTATGTTTTCTGTTCTTCCTTTACCTTTTTTTTACACCAAAGTTAAGCCTTATATATGCTTCCTTTTTTAAAAAGAAAAGAAAAAGAAAAAAAGTTATAACTTCTTCCACATAGTTTTAACCTTTCTATGGTATAATTTCAAATTATCTAAACTCACTTCTATGATCACGTTCTTTTTCTTTTGTGTGTGATAAATAAATAAAATTTTGCAGGTCTTCTGGAAGATCGATGCTTCATAAGAGAGCAAAAGTAGAATTTCACCCCCTTGGTGTTATTGGAGCTATTGTTTCGTGGAATTATCCTTTCCATAATATTTTTAATCCTATGCTGGCAGCAATTTTTTCTGGAAATGGCATTGTTATTAAGGTATAAATATCATACTATCTACCTTTTTACGATTCTTCTTCATCCCGAGGGTGTATCATGTGGTTTCTAGACATTCCTAATATTTATGCAAAATGGGAATTAGGTTATATTCCCTGGCAAATTATATTAAAATTAGAATCTTGCAATGTGCGATACATACTCTTACTGATATAAAACTATTCATGAACTTCCACCTAATAACGTAACCTTTTAGAAGAATTGGTATTTGATGTGGTACTGGTATCCACTAATCCAAGATTCTCTGACCAAATGGTCATTCTTGCCACCCATATTCTTCATTAATAAGCTGAATTTCAGCTCAAGTTAAGATGGGCTTTGCATTCTCCGTGCTTCAAACCCAAAGAAGGCTATTGCATGAGGGTCATTTTAGAGTTAAGAGATATAAAACCATTTTTGTGCTTCCACCAAATAGCTTGAGATTTTTGGAGAGTTGGTATTTGACACTAACTATAAAATTTGTTTTTGTTATTTTATTTTTTTTGAAAACATTTTTAATGTTTTTCAATTTTACAAAATCATGTGGCTTTTGATTGTAGATATCAGAACATGCAAGTTGGTCTGGGTGCTTTTACTTCCGTATCATCCAATCAGCCCTTGCTGCCATAGGAGCTCCAGAGGACCTTGTTGAGGTGATAACAGGGTAGGGCCTTCTGTCTTACCCTTCCTTTTTTCTTGTTGTTCCACGGTCATGTTTTCCATCTACGGCATTGATTGGACCTTTCTTCCCAGGTTTGCTGAAACGGGAGAAGCATTGGTATCTTCTGTTGATAAAGTCATATTTGTTGGATCGCCGGGTGTTGGTAAGATGGTATGATTCCTCTGGCCAATCAAATCAGTTCGCCCTGCGTTCTCACCATGGAATTGTATCATAATTCATTACTTCCATAGTTTCATTTGGATTTCTAAGAAATGGTTTAATATGTTATGCATGGTCGCATACTTGTGAATAGCCCCGCTTTAGCGCGCTATAGCGGAGTTGCATTGCGGTGCAGTGGCTGGCCGCCACAGACCGCACCGCGATGGTCAGGCGAAGTGTAGAGGATGTAGCGGCCACTATTGCGGCTGAATCGCGGCGCTATTGCGCCGCTACAGTAGTTTCTACAAAAGTTTTCTCGTCGTAGAAGGAAGAGATTTACAACTTAGATACAAGTGAAAGTGAAGATGAAGATTTAGATGTTCATGATTTTAATTATGATTAGTTCCTTAAGTTCTTTGATTTTGACATTTCACTTAATGGCAGTTTGAATTTTGACTAATTTTGCCACTTTATTTTGTTGTTACATTATTTGAGACTTTAATTCCTTCAATTTGCTAACGATTTGAATTTTAATGTTTGAAATCATTTATGTTTGAGTTTGAGATATTCAAATTTGTTTTTTATGTCACATTTTCATATTTTAAGTTTCATATTTGTGGAGTACAATTTAGTGTCTTATATCATAATTCATAACTTCCATAATTTCATTTGGATTTCTATGTAATGGTTTAATATGTTATGCATGGTCGATAGTTGTTAGAGATATATAAAACCATTAATATAGACTCACCCAACAGCTTAAGTTTTTGGGTTAAATTGATTCTTTACAATAATTAATATAGGAACTCCAAAGAGTTCATTTTTAACTAATAGTAGAATGAGGGCCTGCTTATGCCCCACTCTTTACCCACTCTAAACCTCTCATTTAGTGTGATGCTTCTTAAGCAGAATCAGTACATAGGAACAGGGCAGAATTATCTTCTACTTTTTCAAATACTCTATCATTCTTTTTATGATGGTATCTAATTCCCATGAAATTAGAAGTCTTTGCGCTTTGCTAATATACTTCATTATGCAGATTATGAAAACTGCTGCAGAGACGCTTATACCAGTTACGCTAGAGCTTGGTGGAAAAGATGCATTTATTGTTTGTGAAGACATAGATGTGGACCATGTATGAATCCCTTCCGCCTTTTCTGATTCCCCAAGACTTGAATGTTATTATTGACCATTTGGTTGCTTTAAATAATGAAATCTTCATTCTTGAATGCCATAGTTTTAATAGGCTTTGGTCTGCTGAATATAGGTTGCACAAATTGCTGTCAGGGCTGTTCTTCAGTCAAGTGGACAGAACTGTGCTGGGGCTGAGCGATTTTATGTCCACCGGGATATTTATTCTTCTTTTGTCAGTAAAGTTACCAAAATCATAAAATCTGTTACAACTGTAAGTTTTTTTTTTTAACGTTTGCAACTTCCAACATGGGCTTCTGATGCATATAATCACATGTGCTTGCAGTTTATTGTCACAAGATTGCTATTTCAGAAATCTATCATATTGTCTTCTGTTGTTTGTAGTTCATTGTAAAAAATTATGAGAAATAGACATCCATATGATTCAGTATAATGTTGCTTTGTCATCTATGTTGGTTGAACCTCTGCATGCTTTTTGTTTCTCTTTTAGCACCCTTTCTGTACCCTCAAGCGACCATTTGCCACCTAAACCATTTAAGATTAGTATCAACTTATTACTGGTTTTATATTCTTGTGTTTGTGTGTTCTTCATATTTGGAGCTCTTAAAAATGATTGGGATCTGTGAAGTGATGACATCTAGCAAATAGATAGATAGAATTTCTTTAGTGATGAACATATTATGTGGCATACTCCAATTCTCTTCTCAGATGATGTTTTCCTTCAAAACTAAAATCACTGGGGTTCTGGAATTCATGATTGTACATAGATTGAGAGGAACGGCAAAAGGATCATTATTTTATATTCATTCACAGTCACAGACAACATTAACATTGAGGACTACAATATGAACAAGAACTCATTGCTAAGCTTCTTCCTAAAAAAAAAAGCTCATTGCTAACTAATTATTGAAGAATATACTTTTGTCCTATATAAAGAAGTCCATTTTTTTATTTAATACTTTGGTTATTGATTTCTGGCAGGGCCCACCACTTGTTGGAAAGTATGATATGGGAGCTTTATGCATGCATGAGCATTCTGAAAAGCTTGAAAGCCTTGTAAATGATGCTTTAGATAAAGGAGCTGAAATTGTTGCACGTGGAACTTTGAGACATAGAGGTGAAGATGCAGTCGACCAGTATTTCCCCCCTACTGTGATTGTGAATGTGAACCACTCAATGAGATTGATGCAAGAAGAGGTAGCAAATCTCATTATCTTTTCTACTTCGAGACATTTACTTCTTCTTTTTTCAGTTTTATTATGATAATGATCACACACACACACATCACCTCCAATCTGCATAGGTTTCACCATCTAATTACAGCTGATCCCACCTTGTTACTTGCAAACTTATTCGTAGATTTTTCCGCATAATACTCGTGAGTCAATGTGAGCCATATGGATATGCAAGAAGCGTTATTCATATTATCATGTTGTTTTAAGTGTTAGTTTCATTGATTGTAGATACCCATACTTTCCATATCTGACGGCAAGTCTACAACCATTTGAGATTTTTTGGACTTTGGGTAACCATATCTCATGTCATAGTCATATATGCGCTACAATTATGCATTTAAATTCAAGAATTTTCCTTCGATATTGTGTGCTTCAGCAACTGCTTACTAGATTCATCTGTGCAATTGAATGATATCCAGGCATTTGGACCAATCATGCCAATAATGAAGTTTAGCTCAGATGAGGAGGCTATCAAGCTTGCAAATGACTCAAAATATGGGCTTGGCTGTGCTGTTTTCTCAGGTAGTCAGAGCCGTGCCAGAGATATAGCTTCACAGATACATTCCGGGGTAGCTGCAGTTAATGATTTTGCAGCAACATACATGTGTCAGGTAAATTTATTTTATCTTTAACACTTGAAAAGGGGTTCACTCGAAAGGGTCTAATAGTAATGATATGATTTATCTTTTTGTTGATCTGGCATCTAACTGCCAGTTTAGAAAGTGTTGATCTGAATCTTCAAAAAAAAAAAAAGTGTTGATCTGTTATTGTAACAAATAGGTTGACTGCGGAGATTTTACTGCTTAAGAGTATTAGACCAGAAAAATCCCGTGACATAGTATTATTTAAGGGAAAAGTGTTTGTGCTTTAAAAGGATATAAATTGTGTTCTTTTAATTTTTTTACTCTATGTACTCCCGATGGTACGTAGTTATAATATAAAAATGTTTTTTTTTCTCTCCTCAGTCATATCAGCTAAAGTGGAAAGTGAAAAAAAAAAAAAAAAGCAACTTTTCATGTTATAACTATGTACTACAGAAAGTACATAGAGTAAAAAATTAAAAGAATACAACTTACATCCTTTAACATGACACACACTAAATCCATTATTTAAACCACTTAACTGGGGTAAGAGAAGAGAGATTACTGAGAAAGTGCTTGCTAGGAAGACGAAAAAAGTAGGTGCACTTGAGGATTGATAAGGAAGTTGGTATATGAAAGGTTTGAAATGGTGGAGTTAGACAATCGAGCTACAGAATCAAGTAACCAACTAGTGGTTTTTAGCTCCAAAAGATAACATATAGGTGGTGTTTGGTATAAGGGTATCACAAGGATTACCGGTAAACCTTCTTTGGTAAACATCAATTTCCATGTTTGGTAGAAGTATCAAAAATCAATTCTTGGGTATCCAAGCTTTACCGTAAAGCATTTTACAAATAAAAATTATTGTTTGGATTATCAAAAATTAGGCGGTTTTCATGATTACTGAGAGAAAGCAAAGCAGATAACATATTTTTGAGACAATAATACCCTCCAACACACATCAACATATATTACCAGTAATATTTTACTTACAACTAAACATATACTCAGTAAAATTATTATATATTTCCGGTAATATTTATGTCTACCAAACAACTTTTTTATATCATTCTCGGTATATTGGATTTCTTTGTATATTACTGGATATTATGGTTCCCGGACACAAAAAAATATCTCTTGTACCAAACACAGCTATAAGGGTACTGAGAATTTCCAGATGCTTGTTAATGAACCTGTCACTTTATTTCATGAGAAAATGCTCCGTATATACTATTCAAAATTTCCTGTAACATTTCCTTTGCCATGAACTACATATTTTGGAAATAATTTAGGCTCCGCACTGCATGTCCAATTTCCAATCAGATAAAGATATACGTTTAAATGAAAGAGATGTTATTTTTATTATTATTTTATTTAAATTTATATTGGCTAAATTCCAAATGACCCGCTTTGACTATAAATTTTTGGCAAATTAACCCCTCAAGTATTAATATTGCAATTTACCCGCTTCAACTTTAAACATATAACAATTCACTATTTTTATGGCCCAAAATTTTGATTATAATTATAGCCCAAGGACTAGGAGTATAGACTTTGCCTTTCTACCTGGAGTGTTTGGTTTGCAAAACGGGGAATTAACATAATGACATGTTTTGCATTAAAAATGTGAAGGAAGACTGATAAAAATAAATCACTAAATGCCTAAAATTTATGGTGGGTAGTTTGCTACAACTATAAAACTTCCAAGAGGTAATTACCAGAGGCCTGAGATTGAAATGGGTAATCTACAGATTTAACCTACTATATTTATGCAGTTGTTTATGCCAAACTGCCTGGAAATGTTTACTTAACCTAGGGTATCCTCTAATTTCCACTGAAGTAAAGATGAATTATGATTTTGCAGTCCCTACCTTTTGGGGGTGTAAAACATAGCGGGTTTGGAAGATTTGGTGGTGTAGAAGGTTTGCGAGCTTGCTGTCTTGTTAAAGCAGTAGTTGAAGATCGATGGTGGCCATTTGTCAAAACCAAGATACCGAAGCCTATTCAGGTCAGTGGGGAAAACCTTTCATGATAATATGTACTATTTTTAGTTCACTGTGAATAGAAACTTAAATGGGCTTCTTGTACACCACAGTATCCTGTTGCAGAGAATGGATTTGAATTTCAGGAGTCACTTGTTGAAGCACTCTATGCGCTCAACATGTGGGAACGTTTGCGAGCATTAGTAAACGTTTTAAAAATGCTTACTGAGCAGAACCCTGCTGGTAGGGGCAGTAAGAGAAGAAATGACTAATGGTCAAGTCAGGTGAACATAATGGTTAATATTATCATATTCAAATTATTAGGGACTTCTGGTTGCCATATTTACCTCCAGCTGCAAATTTTTATGACCTATGCTCTACCATTTTTGTCGTGATTACTAGTTGCTGTACCTGGTCCTGTGATAGAATTGTTATTAATGACAATGAATTTCATTTCTTATCTAATTTCATTAATGAAATCAGGGAATCAATAAAACTCACTTAAAATCTCTTTATAAAATATGCGGTATCACGGTTAAATTTGAATTCACTCGTATTACTATCTTGTTGGAGAAAGGAAAATATCATTTCCTTTACGGGGCGTTTGGTAGAAGGATTTTGTTAGGATTCCTGGGAAATTGAAAGTGGTAATCATATTTATCTACGTTTGGTACAAGTTTTTTAAAATTTTTCCGGGAATCTAATTTTCCCGGGATTTTATTTTGTGTGTAAATTTTTTTGAAAAAACCATCCAGGAATACCATTCAAAAGGTGGTATTCTAGGATTTCTATGGAAAGAGAAAATTTAATACAACTAAATATAGTATCAAGCAAATTAACCCAATATTCCCAGGAATATGTTAGTCTACCAAACAACTTTTCGATAACATTCCCAGAAAACTCATTTTCTCATCATATTCCTGGAAATCGTGATTCCCAGATAAAAAAAAATTTCTCCTATACCAAACGCCCCCTTACTTCCAAATCAAACTTTTGGTATATTTATCCAACGTAAAAATTTTAGTAATGCGGGAGGATTTATATTTGTTGTGGTCCGATATTTCCTACGGAAAGATATGCTCGATATGAAATTACTAGTAAATACGCAAGTGTTACATAAATTTCCTACTTCAATTTTAGAGAGATACCAAATGTTCTCACCGTTAAATTTTGCAATCAATATACCTATTGATTATTCTCCTGTAAGTTTGGTTTGCTAAATAAGCAGAGTACATCTTTAAAATAATTGTAGCAGATAAAAAAATTATATTTTATCTGACTGTTAAAATAATATAAAATAAAATAAGTACTCTTAAAAAGAAGTTTAGGGACAAATATAAATTTTTAAATTTTTGTCAATCATTAAGTTAGATTACAAAATCTTGTCCACAACATAAAAAAAAAGCCCCCCGATAATTCTTACCTTTTAATTATCCAATTCTATTACAAGTTAAACAATATATAATACAAAGGAAATTTTAATAAAAAAAAATATATGTTGTAATAAATTTTGCGTCATTTCATTAAAAAAAAAATTGCATCATTTTAATCATACATATAATAATTATAATTTTATACATTAGTCGACCATTTGTACCGTATTATTTTGTTTCTATTACTCCTGAATGTGTCAAAGGCAACCTTGGTGTTTACAAATCAAGTTCTTCAAAATTATTCAGTATAATTACATATTTAACAGAGTTAATGGCTTTTAAAAACTAGAGACTGCTCGTCACTCAATTAACATTGCTATAATTCTATTTTATTCATTTTCATTTCCTAAGAATTCTTTAGCACTCTAAGGCAAGTGGGTGACAATTAACCATTTCAAATAAAAGCAGTACAACAATATTCCTTCTGTACATACCTTCCATTACATTGTGGATGGGAAAGAAAACTAGTCCTTTCTAGCTGGTGTATCGATCCATGAGGTGTTTTTTCTTGTCATGATGTCTGGCATTGTCTCAAAATGGAAGATGACTCTCCATGAATCAACATGTGAAATCAGTGTCATCGATTATAATTGAAACACCTGCTTAACACGATTAAAAAGTTATATTGCAATCCGGGTGCCTTCTTTGTTGTATAAGCAAAGGGACACCATTTGTAGGAGGGAGTTAACATAGAATTTGGGAAGAGAAGAGAGAGGAGGAGAGGGAGAGAATAACAGAGAGAGAATTGTGGTATAATTCTTTATACCGTTTTCTTATTAATTCACTCTAATTTATAATAAATCCTACGAAGCTGAATAACAACTAGATAGAATCCTACTGAAAATTAAATTGCTAAGTACGATAACTAAACGAATAAACCGAAAGTTTCAGATAAAATACTAAAAGATAAAGTTTTAGAAAATAATAATTGATAAAAGTAAAAAAAATTAATCTATCTAATAATAAGATATTCTAATCTATCAAAAGATGACCCATTGGGCTTCAGCCTATCTTGTAATCCTTGAGATGATCTGGTAGCTTGGTGGGCCTTCTGGGTCTTGAGTGTGTCTGTGCTTGAGCATGGGCTGCAACACCCTTCCATGTGCATCAAACAATCATTCACACTTGTATGCACGAGTGACTTCCCACGAAATAGAATCGTCTGGCAAAAGGCCATCATTCACACAGCCTTCCCGCTTACAATTTACCAATGCAACCATAAACCTCTCATTTTCTAACGACGAATGATACATTAATTGTTCTTCCTGAAAGAAAATAAAGTAATTTGCGAAACGAACAAATAAGTATTTTCAAAAGTAATGTTAATTGGGCATGGTTTAAGCTCAGATAGCATTTTTATCTGAATTCAATGCAGAGCCACCAATGCAATTATGCTATTTGTGAGCCTTAGTATTGTGCGCGTCACATTCATTATCTTTCTAATGTAGTGTGTTTCTGTTTCCAGTAGATTTTGCAAACTTAATTTGCTTAAACTTGTTTTTATAAACCGGATTTTGTTAAATAACTTATAGTGATTTGTATTTAACAATCTTTATGTAAAAAGTAATTTTGGTAAAAGTAATACTTGATCACCTTCCAGCCAAAAAAGTGGAAGATATAGCAAGGCTATCATTTGCTATAATTATACTTTGTACACAAACCGTTCTATTTAAATAGAAACCGTATACTTTCACACACACAAAAAAGGGAGAGAAAGAAAAATGATATGCATAATTATATTCCCTAAGACTTTTATTAATTTACCAACTATTTTTTTTCTTAATGCCACATGCAACTTTATATTAAAATAATTTGTTTATATTTGTGCAAGTAGTTTCCCCCCATATTTTCACAATTTTGCTTCCGAGACAACAGATCGAGTTTCAAGATGTTACCTCGGGAAGTTCATAAAACTCCTCCGGAGATATCTGCAACAAATCCATAGCAGTTTGACCAGTACACCATGCTAAAACTTTCGTACTCTTATCTGCAAGAGTAATTTTCAAATGGAAAGTTCGGACTATCTCAGTATCATCAATTATATGACAAAAGCTGCATTCCATAAATCCACTAGCCATTTTGTTGACAAAGTGACCACAGAGAGAATGTGAAAATTTTGTATTAACGTAATAATACTCAATTGGATCAAGCCAGACTCGACAAACCTGAAACAACATTAAGGAAGAAAATGATCAGAATTTGAAGATAAACAATAATAATCAACGAAAATAATGTAAAAAGGGAAGGCATAGACAGCCATCTCTGTCTTCCTATACGGCCAGATTATATCTGACAATAATAACATAATTCATGAACTCTCTTGCATGCGAAAAGCATTTTTTTTTTTTTTTACAAATGAGGCTATATGTGTATCAGCAGTAAAATCTCGATCTTCTTATAGATCAACTAATTCATTCGGGCGAGACATAGCCCATGCATAAAATAGACTCAGATATGTGGTATTCACACCCGAGTTATGTAACATCCGAGCGCTGACGAGGACGGGGAGTGATTGCCGGTGCGAAAGGACATTGACAAGGAACGACTCCTGACAGGTTTCCAGCGGGGGGTTACATGCATGAATGAATCGAATCGACACCCCAAAGAGAGGGATTTCAAAGACTGTGCAGGTATGAGACTGCACAGTTTGGGATAGCTTATAGGAATTAATTGATACTACTTATACTAACAAGATGCATCTACTTTTCGATAGCCCGGAACAGAAGAACTCCATAGTTAAGCGTGCTTGACTTGGGACAATTCTAGGATGGATGACCTCCTGGGAAGTTTTTTCCGGAAAGTGTGCGAGTGAGGACAAAGCACGCTGAAAAGTCTCGTGTTATTGTGTGGGGACAGTCGTTGATTCTTGCAAGTTGCCAGGCATTACAAGTGGTATCAAAGCAGGGCCTCTCTTCCAGTATGGTGTGGTTCGAGGACGAACTAGGCGGAAGCTAGTGGGCATGTAACATCCCGAGCGCTGATGAGGGCAGAGAGTGATCGCCAGTGCGAAAGGGCATGGACAAGGAACGACTCCTGACAGGCTTCCAGCGAGGGGTTACATGCATGAATGAATCGAATCGACACCCGAAAAAGAGGGATTTCAAAGACTATGCAAGTATGAAACTGCACAGTTTGAGATAGCTTATAAGAATTAATTAATACTACCTATACTAACAAGATGCATCTACTTTTCGATAGCCCGAAACAGAAGAACTCCACAGTTAAGCGTGCTTGACTTAGAGCGATTCTGGGATGGGTAATCTCCTGGGAAGTTTTCCTAGAAAGTGTGCGAGTGAGGAAAAATCACACTGAAAAGTCTAGTGTTTGTATGTGGAGATAATCATTGATTCTTGAAGCGGTCGGGCGTTACAGGTTTCATTCATTATGGTTGAGCATGTATGCAGCGACAAAGTACGGAATTTTGTGGTCGAAAAAGAAGAAGCTACCGATGCTTATTTCGGGATGTCTTACCCCAAGTGCAAAACACGTTACATGATGCCAGGTTTCAACGAGTATAATTAATGATTTGACTCAGATGTGAATAACTCACAAGACACTAATAGCAATGATAGGTATACAACATAGCAATCGTAACAACGGAGAAAAAAGTTTAAATGGATCTTCAAGTAATACCAAAACTCTTACTTGCGCATAGCTAGTCACGTTAGAAATATCAGAGAGTTGCGATAGCTTATGAAGGCAAGATGAGTTGATCAATGCTGGTAAGCAACTGAGATTAATGAAAGAGGCCCCAATACCATTCTCAAACCAAGACACTTCCAGACTGTCAAGTCAAAAACATTCAATTTCATATGATTATGTGGATACTTTAATTATAGAGTACAATGACACATTAAACTACAAAGGCATAAATACTGGTACAGCAGACTACATGATCAGCAAGGGGTACTACACAACACTTCGAAGCATAAAAAATAGAATTAAAAGATTCACTCAATTTCTATCGTAAATTTTCATAATTATCTTTTTCCGTAGGTGGTGGCTGATGATGTGCTTCAGTTTTTAACTTTTAAGTTGAATGTGCTCACCTCCTTTGTTTGGACATCATGCACGTCAAGCCAGATATAAAAACAGTGTGACCGAGACTTACTCTTCCCATTGACCTGAGATACATCATAAAATGATAAGAACGGGGAGGACAATAGAAAAAGAATACTTGGAAGACTCGTAAAAGGGAAACACAAGCCAAGTGGTTTTATGATAATGATCATCAACATTTCCAGTCCCCCTCCGTCCCCCACGGTTATTTGCTCTCTCCTCTTCCTTCTATATCTGGTTACATTTTTTTCTCTTGAAACTATGAAGCGTAGGCCTACCCCAGCCTGCACATGTCTACCCAATACTGCTTAAGGATAGCTCGAAGATGAAATACTACTATTGCTTGTAATCATTACCAAAATCTGGCAAAATGAAGCTTTGCCCAAATTACTCCGCTAGTATCCTCGATTCTTAAAGAGAAAACTGTTTCTTGTTTATTATTTTCTTTGATAATATCTGTAACAACACCATAGAGGCTGATGCTGGTCATCTTGTTGTGAAGGTCCTCCACAAATGTCTGCAAAAATTCACACAACCAATAAAGTTACCTAATCAACCATAAGATGCAGAAGATAAGCACTTTTAAGGAGTGTACACAGGATAGTGTGAAAAATATAAATAGTAAAATCAAATACAGCCATATGATTGGCACTGCTTGAGCAGACCTATCTCCAAAACAACACAGTAGCATATAATGAAGATCTCCATGTTGACAAATTTATGTAGTATTTAAAAATTGTAAAAGTATATCACTCAGATAGTAATAGAAATGGGCTTCGGAAGAAACGCAGGCAAAAGCACATGTGCTATGAGGCAATCTGACAATTGAGAGTTGTTACCCAAAGAACTTTTATTCCACAAATTAGATACATATAGTAAAAAACTTGCATCCAATCAATTGAACAACATGGTCAATTTTATTGCTAAAATGATAAGAGACAGCATAATTAAAAAAAGAAAAAAGAAAAACTTTGATTTCTAAAACAATATAAGCACAACAAAAATAACTCAAGAACAACATAAAATTTTGAATTTTCATTATCGTTATCCTCAAAATCAGGTTACAAAATTTTGTTACATAAAAATTTAAATTTTGTTATCCTCTAATTTGTTATAGTACAAAAAGAGAAAATAATAATCCCTATCCTTTGATTTTTCCAAATATATTATACGTGAAACAATGCACGGACACATAAAATATTACAATAAATTTTGTTATTTTATCCTGAGATATGTCTATTAAACGAAGAATATCACACATTTAATAATTCTAATCATCAAATATCTAACAGCGTAAAAAATTATTACGTGACTTAATTACTTGCAATGTACTTTTATAATTGTGCTATCCCTCAATATGTAATAATTATTAAACATATCACTTATGTTGATAGAGGTTGCATTTGAACTCAAACCCAGTTCATATGCTAACTCCGATATAATCAAACGACCAGCTATTGACAGGCTTCGAATAGAAACAAATATCTTTCTAACACAAACAAAGTAAAATAACATGCGTGATAACTATTGATATCAAGAAAAAATAGAAAATAAGGAAAATCTATCCTTTTATTTTCTTTGGAGGGGTGGTAGAGGGTAAACTCACCCGAAAAGGGTAATTACTGAAATCAATGGTCCCCTGAGAATCGCAGGGCAAGCTCACTTGAGAAAACCTGAGACCCTGACTAGGATTATACGAACCCAAGGGCCTTGAACCCTGATGGCGATTTTGTGTCATTGTTACGCAGACCTAATCAACAGAGCTGTTTAATTTTTTCTCCATTTGACAATTACAATAGTTCACGTCAGACAAAATTCCATGAATCACCTGTTCTTCACGTTGAATGTAAGGCACCAAATATAATTGTGTTGCACTTCCATATTCGAGACAAAATTCCTCGCTTGATTTAATATCACACTCTACAGAGCTTGCAATATATGGTTTGTCCAGTGCAAGCATGCTTCCCACTCTGTAACCCCCCATAAAATGAATTTTATACACGTATAAGAAATGAATTACTCAGCTTCAGAAGTTTGATACAGAGCAAGAATTCACCTGAAAAGATTGGCAAGGAGAGTCTGTTCACCCCACAAGAAAAACTTTAATGTTACACCATCACCATCAACAAGAGTAATCTGTTTTCTCTGTAAGCTTCCAGAACTCCCTTGAATTTCCGCAGATTCTATGCTTTCAATCCTATAATCAATAAAAGAATATAGTAAGGCCATGCTTACTTATAAGAGGAAAAAAGATGACTATTCAAGGTTATGGATCACGTTGATAAAGGCATCTGTAGAGGAATTTTAATGAACTAGTGAATGATTTAAACCTCTCAGCTGCACTTACATAACTTTATAAACAGTATGATGATGCATGAAACTTTCTTAGTCACACAATGCTCAGTAAATTTACAATATGCTCAAAACAACACAGTCAAGTGACAAAATATGACTCCCAATTGCAAGTAGTTTACCTTGCATAAAGTGAATAGGAAACCCCTTTGTTCACTGCATCAAGAGAAATTGAAGAGAAAGAGTCTGAACAAAACTGAGCTCCTAGTAGCATTGCATCATCATCCTGATTCTACAGTTTTGAAGAAAACAAAAGGCTTATCATCATGAAAACTTGATCTGAATCTAATCTTCTAGGTGGAGTACAAAGACCAAAAGATAGAACTAGTGTTCAGAACAGAAACTTGGTTCCGAACTTGAACTACTTACATATGAAATTACAATGATCAAATCTAAAGGCTACAAATTTATATTAGAAACTTTGACAATTACCTCATCCAAGATAATCACAAGATACTCTGTTGGCAAAAGACGTGGATAACCATGACCTTCAGTGGCAGTTCGGAGGTAGCATCCAGTGAGGAAAACCTCCCTCCCTCTCTTCAGAATTCCATTCTGAAGGCCTGCCAAATCATAGAATCTGGTAGAGAAAATATGACATGTTCAATCTTAAATGAAATTGCAAATAAGAGTTGGCCAAGTTTTGATTTTGAATTACATGCTACATGAATGATTCAAAACATGCATTTTGTGCAAATAATAAAAAGAAAAGAAAAATGTAAGTTACTGGTACATATTAAAAGTTGATTCGATTATCAATGGAAAGCACAAATAGACCCAAGAGAGAATATCATCTTAAACTTCATTACCATTACATTGTCTCCCAAATATGGTGAATAAAGAACGCACTCAAATATAAAATAAAAGTAACAAAATTTTAAATATTTCTAGATTTTCATATTTTAAACAGCAATAGAAACAAGCCACGTGTAGTGAGCACAAAAGAAAATCTAGTTGAATGTGCAAGAATAGAGCAAAATCTTTGTATTCTTTTAATTATGGCTGTACATACTGCATTTACCTGCGGTGTAGATAGAGATCTATGATATTGGAGCTCCAATAATCCCCTAAAGTAAGCATGTGGATGTTTGTGCCTGCAAAAAAGTAGTTTACAATGATGAGCGTCAATCACTACAAAACCAAAATACAAATTTTATCTGCAACAGTTACAACAACCACGGCTTATCCAACAATGTGGGATTAGTTAAAAGAATCTATGAATGCCAATGGGCTCTACCAAAAAGCCAAATTTTTTAGAAAACAATTTAGAGAGACAAAGTGAGGTCTTTTTTATGATTTCTCCTCAACCAAATTATTTACTGCACTAAACATTGGGTAAAATATCAAAACAGATACCTAGTTGTAAATAATTTAACAGAGCTGTGCTTCATTGGTAGGTCATTTCTAATTCCCATGATAAACCTATGCTAAGGCTTGTGCCATGTCTTGATCTTGGAATGGGGTAACCTGAAGTGGGACTTTCGAGGGAAGAAAGTTGGAAATATTCAAGTGTGGGTGTTGCAATCCTAAATTAATTAGAAATTGATCAATTTAACACCATATAAGTGAAAAGACACAGACCCACAGTCCCTCATGGCCTTTAAGGTTTTGAGTTGAGGTAGGATGTGAAACTCGCTTCTCGTGGCTTGGCTCTTGGCCCATATAAACAAGGTATGCCTTGAAAGAACTTTGGCTACCCCGTGCCACTTAAAAGTAGTGAAAATCAAGAAAACAGATGAATGCAGGCTCAGACTTCAATAGTGCGATCACATTGGCACATGCCTCAACTGTAAGGTATGAAATTATTTTCTTTATAAGATTACATGTTCGTATAAATTCTCACTTGATCAATTTTCCTCTAATGGAGGCTTGCCCCAATAGCCGTAACCTAGGCCTGAATCTGGGATATCTCCCATATTTCGGACTTGGGATAGTAGGAGTTTTCGCATAGGCGAGTGTCAAACATACATTCAATTGATTTCTTTTCTAATTTTATTTTATTTTTTGCCAAAATGAGCGGATGCCAATGTACAATGGCTTATCGTTTTTTATAAGAAATAATTGCTCCTACAATTTGATCAGAATAAATCAAATGTACTACAGCCATAATTTTTCACATAAACTATAATCAGAACAAAAAAAAGCTTCAATTCCAAGGCACCTGGGAGTACAAATGCATCGATAATAACAGCTTCCAGAACACTGTTCAAGGACAGGAAATTTTTCTCGTATATGGAATCAATGGTAACAGTGTTTGGAAGCTTTGTCCTCCGATGATCCTTCTTGAGATGGTTAATTAATTCGAGCCTCTTCTTCGGAGCCCCAACCCTGCGTTGTTCACTCCATGACTTCAACACAAAATCATCGATAAGACAAGCAGTGAAACACAGCAGAAACCTAAATAAACTAAAGACCGCGTGACAGCAACAGCTAAACTTTCATTGAAAACCGTAACTGCCACATCAACCTATCTAATTCCAAAAGAGATGAATGTAACGACTATAAATCCCTAATTCATGCATTTTGTAGTTCGTGCACTAAGGAAATTGCATCGGAATCGCCAAACACAGCAAAAATGGATGAGCAAAAGTGATGAACCTGAGAGAGTTCAGATAGCAAGATCGCAGGAGTGACACCGCTTGAATAAGCAATGCAAGTCTTGAGAATATGAGATACGATCCAGCTCCAACCATATCCAACAGTACTCGCAGCATCTCCGTTTGGATCGTCTTCCAGTGATAATAGCTCGGTTCTTGAGTAATCGACGAATCTGAGGAAAGGATCTTCCTCCCCCTTCTCTTGATCTTCTTGGCGATGATCTAAGTCCATGGCTGAACCTCCCTCTCCCTCTGTATTACAGCCGTAATGACGATGCTCCATTCTCGACTCACCTAAGTTTCAGATGAACGACGTTGCTTGCGTCTTTCTGCGTTGAGGGGAATGTGAATTTGGGATTGGCGCAGTTTTCAATTGAAAATGCACCTTTTGGAAATTGGTCTTACATTTTTTGGCGGGCAATAATGGGTTGGGCTTGGGCTAACATATAGCTTTAGGGCCCAAAAATCGTAGAGTGCCTTTTTTTTTTTTTTTTTTTTAGAGAAAGTTGTATTGTAATTTGTAAGCAACTAACTACGTAACTTTGCTTTAAACATTTTATTTTTTATTTTTGATAAACAGCAAGGGCCAACCCCAATTTGTTCAAAAAAACATTGAAAAGCATAATTAATTTCAAATATTTACTCTAGATTATTATAATATGATTTTCAAATTTCTTAAGACGATAACCAAACTGCTTGTCATTGTCATTGATTATCAAACATAGTAAATTTAATTTGTCTATCCAAATGTAAAATTCAAATCATTTGGTTTTATATTAAATTTCACACAGTAAATATAGATAAGTTATCTAAATTCGCTTTCAAAATATTTTGGGTTGAAAAATTATAATAGAAAAGACTATTATAACCTTGAAATAAATTATAATTATAAAAATACCTTGATTTCCGCCTCAAAACGACATCATTTTGGGCTTAATATAGATAAGTTATCTACATTGACTGTAGAAAAAATAAACTCATTCATTATTTATATAATTAGCTATGCATCAAATAGTTGACTATATATAATATTTTATTTTTATCCTAGCTTGCCGTGTTATTTTATATAGGGTTTTATTAATTTCCTTCCACGTAAGATAGTTATCTTATCTATCTTACGTGGTAGAGAGAAAATGGGTGGGTCCCACCATTACAAGAAAAAAGAAAAAGAAGAAAAAAGTGAGGTGCAAAAATCGAAGTGAGAGAAAATGAGATAAGTTACTTCATGTAAAAGGAGAGTAATATTTCCCTTTTATATATAACATTTTATTTTAGGAAAGGGATTGCCTATTCCTCAGAAAAGAAATATTTCCTTCCCCATTTCCCACCTTATATATAGTACATTACCTGCTTCTTTTAGCTAAGGGAGAAGAAACGGTTGACACCTACAGTATAGAGAGCAAGGTTCATATAAAAGTTTGATGAAGATAAGAGATGTTAAAGTGGTGGGGAATTTGTACTAAAAAAAAAAAAAAGTGGTGGGGAAGCTTGAGAGGAACTGTGAGATTGGGAGTAAAAAAGGGTTCTCCGTTTTCAGCATGATGGGTGACCCTTTATCTAGGATTAGGTTCTACCCCCTTCGTGTTATGTTGGTGGCTAACCGTAAACAACTTTTTCAATCCAAAATTTTAAGGTGTTGGGTGAGGGTTTTTTCAATGGTATATATTATTTTCTAACGCACCTCCTCACGCAAGACCTTTTTGGACTTGAAGCGTTGATTATTGCATAGGTCTAATTTTTAGTTTACCTTATGTTTATTTAATTCCACTTGAGTGAGAGCCTTTTTAATAATTTATATTATTCTTAACTAATATCTTTACCTTTCCCCCTTACAAATCCACCATTAGAAACTTGGAATTGATGTTATAATTATATGTGTTCCTTCCATCCAATAAGTATCTTCACATTGCCCATACTTTTGTTCTACTTCTCTAGTACGAAAGATTTATCTATATATTTCCAAGACATATATACCACACACTAATTACTAATTAATATGTAGCTGCTAGACTATATTAATCACATTCTTCATAATGACCTACAGGTAGTTTCTCTTCCTCTATGGACTCCATGGAGAGGGAGAGAACTTTGGGGAGTTAATGGAATTTCACATCAAGATTGGGAGAAAGTTTGAAGAACTGCAGAGTGGTTATAACTGAGTTAGGGTTCGGTGATCCACTTGTAAACCATGTTCCTCGAACAGCTTCTATGTCGTGTATCGATGACCTCTGGTACATAAAAAGACTTTCAAGCCAAAGTGACGAAAACGATGAACTACTTATGAAGAGACAAGTTGGGAATGTGTTTGTTGACCCTATAGATTTTTAGGTTTATATAACCTTCACGTACGGCTACTTGGTTGAATGAAGTTATTTCTTTAGCTATGTATATCATTGACATGAAGTTATTTCTTTAGCTGAAAGAAAGTACAATATTTATGACTAGCATCTTCTGGTCCTTTTCTTTTTATTTATTTTTATAAATCTAGATTGATAATCATCTTGGCAACAGGTTTATATCTCAAGGGATGGTCTTCAGTTTAGTTATCTAATATTTACTGGTCTTAATTGACAATGGAAATGCCTATGCTTTCATTGAAATTACAAGACAAAATTCCAAATAGAATTCCTCATAGTCTTTAGGGTACACATTTTATAGTTGAACTTATAGCCAATACCCAGTTCCCCGTTTTGTGCAAAAAACCTTTTTTTCGATTGTATACTTACGATTATTTCTATTTGTCCTAGAGTAAATTCTCGCTGAATTTCCATGATACTTTTTTATCTGATATTTATAAGATACGGGCATATTGTTTATTAATATTCATCATTCAACACATTTCAAATTTCATGGAATCATCCGGATGTTTGGAAAGGTATGAAGGAAGGGTGCGTTATGCTTACCTTGATCTTTTGATACCACGACGACGACGCTGATTCAAATCAGTTGGAATTTGCTCACCTCAATGCACGTATTCCTTCACATTTAGTATAATTTTGATATTTGGAAGACAAAGAAAATGATCCAAGGCCAAAATAATTATTACATATTTATAATTGATGGAATTTGGACGCTCTAATTCAGCTGCAAAAGTGAACTCTAAATTCTTAAGATTGAGTTCTAACGTTATATCATTTTAAGCTAAGCTGAAAATTTTAACCGAGGCTTCAAACATGATAAAAGTTTGAGATTTTATTACTTTTGGCTGGTTTTGTACGTGACAAATCAATTATAAGTCCTTTAGAGAAAAAAAAACAACTAAATTTCCTCAGAGCTTCATTGTTTGAACAATACAACTTACACGTTTATCATTATTTCCTTCTCTTGTTAAATCTTGCACGTTTTGAGTAGCTTTTCACCAAAATAAAGAACTGAATGCAAATCAGAAACATTGGAACTGCTTTGCTCCTTTTTTTAAGGCCAGTGAACTTGTTTGCTCTCACTATAATACATGTATGCATATTCAAAGCAAATATATCTTGCGGAAAAGATAAGACTCCTCCTCTACTGTAAACTTATCTTTAAAGTGAGTAAAAAATAGTTTATCCCCATTGATTTAATGAAGAGTGTATTATAATCCTTTCAAAGTGTAGAGATCACTGAAGTGAATTTTGTCTCTACCAACAAAGCATTTTCCTTACACACAGCCAAGAATCGAACCCATGTCAGCATGCTTAAGGGACCTAGCTATCTACCAACTGTGTCAGGTTTTATTGATAATCTTAACCTACTTAAATCTAATGCAGACACACCCTTATATTTAAAGAAGCTTTTTCCTCAAAGACAAATTCAATGCTGTTAGTCATTAGTATACTTTGTTTTCATTAAAAGTCATTTCTTATAGTGCTCTGTTATCAACATAAGGCAAGACATCTCTTATGCTATCGTCATACTATAGTCAAAGCAAATTTTACAAGACACCAATCTGTATAGCTACTAAAGGCCCAACCCTAAACTACATAGACACTTATGCTGTGCACTTACACTTTGCCAATTCTATTATTTGATCGCCATATCCTTCTAGGAGACAAACTTTTCTTCACGGAAGAAATTTTTGGTGTTCCCAACTGAACTTCCAGATTGGACGAATCTAAGGATAACCTTTCCACAATGAAAGCATCCAAATCAAAGTCACTTTCACCATCCACATCATTATCATCATTGCGACTAGAAAAATCAACCCTGTTTGAAATTGTTCCGGCAATATTTCTCAAAAAATCCGGTGGCATGTTGTACGAATTTGGGTCCAGCTTGAGGAGTCTCTTCAAACTGTCAATGGCAGGGTCTAAAATATCTAAGAATCCCATAACCCATGAAGCATCATCTACAACTTCCGTCCGCTGTTGCATGCAACAAGCAACATTTCAAATATTAGCAGCATTCCTAATTAGAGTTATTCAGAGAAAAACCAAGCCTCAAAGTCATAGCGAAATTCCAAATTATTGCATTGCAGATTTATTTCTCAAGATACACAAAATATTATAAAGATCTAATTGAATAATTAAGGGAAGAATTCTCTTATATGTATAGATTATAGAGGAGCATATATCTAAAACCTTGGATTAGTAGGCCTAGGGTAAAAGTTACTTAAAGATTAGAAATATTTTAAAGCATTTTCATTTTATGTAATTTTTCCTTCTTTCCCTTATCCAAATATAGAGTAAGTTAATCAAAATGGTCTTGATAAAGTCATTAGGCTAATTTTGGATTATCTGTTACCAGTAGGCAATAGGGTACTTTCTTAAATCTCAACTCATCACCCACAAATTGATAAACACAGTAGTTATGACATTTACCTGCTGGAAATAGAGGTCACGGATCTCTTCAGCACGCACAGAATTTCCTTGATCTTCCTCCAGTGATGCCCAGGTCATCCATGTCACATAACTCTGAGAATTTATATTCAACGAGGATCTAAACAATCTGCGGGCAGCTGAAAGATTACCAACCCTCTGTTCGAGAACACCCCAAGCCTGGATTGGGAGAAAGTTGTTATAAAAAGTGAACATCAAACTCTGGAAAAGATCAAGTTGTCCCAACATTTATCATATGCGTGCATGTCACCTGGAGACACCTGGCAGCAGTTTCACTCTTTGAATCAATTGATAAAGCTTTTTGGTACAATTCTCTAGCTGTATTCAAGTTTCCTTCCTTCCATTCCATCCAACCCCATGCCTGCATATCCCCAAACTTCCGATTAGTGAATACCTACATATACATAATCATGAATGGTGTAAAGTGAAGAAACTTCTTACAAACCAAACAGGTTGATGTCTTGGATCCAATTCCGATGCTTTCCTGAACAAAACCCGGGCGATGTTTGCAGTTGAGTGTTTGTATTCTAATAATGCAAGAGACTGAAGGAGAACAGCATCCCTCGGATTTAGAGCATGGCCTATCTTTAGAAGTTTTCTTCCCTTGTCAATGTTGCCCACGTTAGCTTCAAAAACACCCCATACATGCCAAGCAAACCTATTTTTAGGACTTGCCTGCACTGCTTTCTATTAATTGCAAAAGAATAAAAGAAACATAAGTCGCGCATTGTTAGAAATTAATAAAAGCAAATGGCAAAGGAAGATGCCCTAACTCCTAACTAACGAATGTATAGTCTGCAAAGTTCCAACAAACAAAGGAATCAGATAGAAAATATGGTCGAACTGGTAAATTAAATATAACCTCAAACAATTTCCTAGCACCACGGTGATTTTCCTGTTCCACCTCCATTTGTGCCCAAGCCTATTTCAGAAAGAATAAGTATGATTTGATAAGACAACATGCATAACATACAAGTCTAATTCAGAAATGATATCCCTCGGATGATCATGACTTACAAGCCAACTAGCACAGCTGTTAGGATTACATGTAGTGGCCTGATTGAATAAATATCGAGCCTGCTGATATCTATTTGCTCTAGCTTCAAGCAATGCAAGTGTTTGGTATATGTACTCATTCCGTCCACAATATTTAAGACCTTTGGCAAGCAGATTCCTTGCCTTCTTTATATTTCCCTGCTTTAACTCTAGAACTGCCCATCCATGCCAAGCAGCAACATGCCTCTTATCAGCAACCGTGGCAGCATCAAATAATTCTCTAGCTCTCCTGACATTTCCCATTTTCTTTTCAAGAACAGCCCAGCACTGTTCAAAGAGAACTTGCACTGATCAACTTCAGTAGAATATAAGTGAAAATTCAAAATATCAGAATATTGGAAGCAATCACTCCCACTCCAAATGTTAGCAGATGAAACGTTCTCTTTGTCAGGTCCAGTACAAGCCTCAAAGGCCTCAGGCATGCCAGGCCATGTATACTCAGTGATGGAGACAGGGAAGGGCTAGGAGGGGCGATCGACCACTTAAATTCATGCAAACCTTTGTATTACATTACATTCAGACTATAAGTTAAAAGAAAGGTAGTGTAGTATAACTTTTGCCCCCGTTCATTCTTATTACTCCTTATGTACGACGAAAATTTGGAAAAGTTCTTCAAATCTGGTGACATATCCACCCACTATTGTGTTGCTTTGCCTAAGTTAATGTTTTAATTTTGTTTTCTTCGTCCCCTCTCATAAAATTTTCTGGCTCCGCCAATATATTATAGCCTCAAAGGTCCATTTAGATGCCATGAATTATTGTATTAAGAATTGAAAGCATCACAAAAGTTTTCCGTAATTCTAAACTAGAAGACTTTTAACACACTCTTTAATAGGTAGGACTTAACGTTGGAGAAGGAAGTGAAGTACTCCAGAAACAGAGTTCCAACCAAAAAAGCCAATAGGCTTGAGAGAGTGATGAGTGATCATCACATGCAAAAACACAATTGAACACTAACCTGCCAAATGTATGCGTTTTCACCCTGAGTAGCCTGGCAACCCTTCTCGTATATCTCTCTGGCTTGATCTGTTTTGGATTGCTTGCTCAAAATCTTCCCAAGTGCCACATAAGGTCGACCATCTTCAGGCCAATAGCTTATACACTTCCATTCCCATTCAAAATAAGACAAGAAAACCCATTATCAGAGACACATCCAAATTTTGCAAATTTCCAGAAAACAAGTTAAGCAATCAGAAATTATAATAAATAACCAAAATGATCACACACCACACCTTCTGAAGTATAGCTTCTGCTCCTTCAAACTGAAATTTTCTAGCTAAGACCTTTGCCTTATATAACGCCAGGTCCAAATTCACAGTCAGGGGCTTCTCTTTGGAATCTGATTCAATCCTCTCCGGCTCAAAAATCGGCATCTTCTTTGCAAATTTAGTGAGCCCGGAATCAATTGCTAAAGCTTTCGGGTCATCATCCTTTGTCCCTTTCCCTTCTTCCTCATCATCGGATTCTTTGCCGGAAAACTCCATCACCGGCCGGCGAACCACGAGCGCTCCCTCAAAGTTTGAGTCTTTTGGTGAAACGGCATTGAGGGAACTCTGTTCGGAGGAAAGGGCATTTTTTTCCAGCACTGTGGTTGATGAGGAGGATGAGTCCCTGAGAGAGCAACTTGGTGCAGGTGCAGTGAGATGGGAAGGGGAAGAGTGGAAGGGTAAAACGGGTACTTTGAGGGTGAATTTGAAGAAGTAGTTGGGGTTCTTGGACTGAGTGAAGAGAGTGAAATTCGGAGAGGAAGAAGAAGAAGATGGAGGAGGAGGAGGAGAAGGGAGCGTGTTCATTTCTGGTTAACTGACAAAACTGTTTCGTGTTTTACGTACAAAGCGAATGTGGAGGAAGAAGAGAACATGTAGAATTTATTATTATAACCCTCTAGTTAGAGTCATATTTTAAAAAGTTTTAACAGTTAATAGTGATCTAATTAAAAAATAAGTGTTTGATAGGATGGGTTTTCTGTTTTTTCTTTTTCATTAATATATGATTCAGAATTTTTTGACTCAAGTGCAAGGGCAGTTCAGTAGTTGTACACACACTGACTCACTGGCCTGAAATTATCCACATAGCTACGTCACATATGTGGCTGAGGCCTTTACCCGGAATGCAGATTTTAGTGACACGTGTGGGTTAGTGATTGGCCACTGTACTCAGATTCGTGATTTGGCGAACAAAGAGATATAAAAAAAAATCATTAATAAACGGGGATATAATAAAGAAATAAAACGAAATTTTACTAGTTGACATGGTATAAAAAAAAATATTTTTGCAATTAATACAGATAAATTATTTATATTTATTTTCAAATTTTAAAATGAAGTTATTTTGAGATTGAAAGATTAAACAATTATAATTATATAAGACTATAATAACCTTAAAATAAATCAATTTGAAGAAAAGATTATTTAATTTAAAATTTTATAATTAAAAATTATAGGTGTAAAAAAATAATTATTAATATCAACAGCCCCCATCTAAAAATTAAACATAAATATTATGAAGAGTAAACGCTTATTTTAGTCTTCTAAAAATACAAGAGTTTGTACTAAAAAAAAAAAAATACAAGAGTTATCCCTTTATTTTTTTAAAAAATTTGTTATCAATTTGGTGTTTTAATTATACAAAATACTATCAAATTAGATCTTGTTTATTAAATTGAGAGAAACGAATATAATATAATCTTAATTTAGAAACTAATTTGGTACATTTTATATGATTGATCCTTGGAGGATCAATTAATCACAATTTCTATTATTAAAAAACTAAAATGATGAGAAAAAATTTCAAAGAATAAAATGATGACATGAGAAAAAAAAGTAAATTTTCTCTAATATGAAACATGGTAATAAAATAAATTCTTCAGTTTTAATATATTATGTATAAAAAAATTATGCTATTATTCAATCATTTGTGAATATAACTTTCCAAGAGAGTTTGATTTTTCAATTGGCTATTAACACACTTAAATTTAGTTGAAAATAAATAATTTGTTCATTTAGATCATTACTTTTATATTTTTTTAAATATTAGTTCTTATAATTTTAGCTGTGGCACCCAAGTGGGCACATTAATTGATTTCATGGTTCGTGTTATTCCACCACAACTCTGACACTTTTTAACCTACACAGGCATTTAGTTCCCTGAAGATCAAAATGTGCTAGTCATGTCAAAACATTTCAGGGGGTGTTTGGTAAAAAAGTTATTTTGGGATTGATAAGGAAGTGTGAGTGGATATCAAGTATTATCATGTTTGGTATAAATTTTTCAAAAACTTCCCTAGTAAAATAAGATGCATAGAAAAGGTTAGTTGTGTGGAAAATATGATGAAAATCACTATTTCAAAATATCACTTTGCATGTGGTATTTTGTGATGAATGGAGAAGTGAAAAGTTGAACTCCAATCTCTTGTCAAAAATGACCCTCTATTGTGTACAGATATCCAAATGTTGAACCTCTCTCATTTGCGGTTGTAATTCCCTTTTTTACTATTCCTCTCATTCACTCTCTAATAATAGTCTATTTTGATGTTTTCTGATTCTATATAAATTCTATATGCACAGATTTCATTTTGAAAGCGTAGAAAAAAACAAATAATGAAAAGAAAAAATTGATAAACTTCAATACATTATGCGAAATGGTAATTATCTCAAATACCAGTTTCATAAAAGTTTAAAATGGAAAATTTGACTAGTGGCACCAAATTTGAGAAAAAATTATAAGAGTTATTTTAGTCATTTCAACATATTTTTCCATCAATATTTTACCTTCAACCAAATATACATTCAGAAAATTTAATCCAATTTTTTTGGTAATATTTCGACCAACCAAACAATTTTTTTTTTTAACTTTCCCACCATATTCTTATTAATTATATTTCCTTAGTAAAAAAAAAAGTTTCCTCTACCAAACACCTCCTTAAAGCCAAATGTATTTGATTTTCTGAAGTGAAAAAAGTGATTATGTGATGACATTATTCGATCATAATTATTAATTTAAAAATTATATTTTTTTCTCGTTTATCTTATCCTCAATGAATGGTTGTGATCAAATAAATTGATCACATAATCACTTTTTTGTACGGGATAAATATTTCTACAGTCACTTTAAATAAAGTTATCAATAATTATCCCAAAAATTACATCATTTTGATTAATGAAGAGTGTTTTTATAATTTTAGGTGAATTAATTAAGGGTGTTTCAATAAAATGTATATGATAAAAAAAATAAACAAAATTACGATAATACCCTTCATTAATTCACCTAAAATTATATAAACACCTTTTATTAATCAAAATGACGTAGTTTTTTAGTAGATGTAAATAACTTTATCTAAAGTGACTGTAGGAATATTTTTTTTCTTTTTTTGTATAAGAGAATCCAAACGAAATAATTATTGGAATCATTTCCAATGATTTTTTAGTTAACAAATATTTTTCTGTATTAAGAAAAATAATAATAATAATTTCTACGTATAAAAACCAAGGTTCAGCAAGATCATGCCAATCATTGTCTAAATTTTCGGCTGTATATTCATAGCTAGCATTGAATAAACAGGTTCAAATAATTATATATCCTTCGAATCGATGTTAATAATCCTCATAAATATATACCGATGACCGACCCTTTAGGTTGAGAAATTCTGATGCTATCCAAAGCTATTTCTATTGGTCAACAAAAAAAAAAAAATTGTGATTTTACATTTACTTTTATAGGGAATAACATCTATCCTATTAAAGGATATAAGTTTATATTCTTTTAGATCCTAACCGTTGATTTTCGTTCATCAACGATTATAATTTATTAGATAAAAATTATTAATTAATTAATAATAAATTTGGCCCATTAAGTTTGGCCCAATAGATTATAACCGTTGATAAATTGAAATCAACGGTTAGGATCTAAAAGGATATAAACTTATATCCTTTAAAAGGATAGATATTTTTCCCTAATTTATAATGTTAAAATATTCCACAAGAAGAAGCAAGTCTTATCCACAACTAGATAATTTTAGAGATATTAAATTTTATTACAAACTTATTTTGAGATAAAATTTCCTTAACATAAATTTTTTCACTATAAAATCTTTTTCAATCAAAATTAATTTTATAAAATCAGTATCATCCAAAAACAAGTTTGTAAAAGTTTAGCCAAGGACAGAAACCCCCATCACATGGTCATATATATGCATGAATGGATGGGCTGGTTCTCTTCTAACACCATAGGTTGCTGTAAATTGCACATCAATAAATAATGTTCACAGTGATTCTTCTATCTATCTGAACTTGAAAATTAAGCTGAATCCAAACGGTTTGTGAACCCACAACATGTGCCTCTGAAAAGCATCAGAAAGAAAGATATAACCTTTTCATTTATTATTTCATATATATTGATAAAACGCGGCTTTGCCTTTTTAGCAACCTAATATATAGTGACTACTACGGTTGTTGGAAGACTGAATAAAGGTTTTGCTTCTCCCTTATAGGCCACCCCTCTTCTTTCTACGACCACATATAGCCCCATATTGGGCATAGAGTAGCAACAGCAGCTGGGGTTTGAACCCTCTTCTCACGTGTGTAACTTAACTTCTGTGTAACAGTGTAGCTGACAATTATAGCAAAGATTGCTGAAGATTGATACATTTATATTGTGCATACACAAAAATATAAAGGAACGAAAATATTATAATTTTATTATAAGTTGTTGTGACTTCTTCCAAGTCTTAAAATCCATTGGACTAAAGTGGTGTAAGTTAAAGCTGACATATTATCAGCAAAAAAAAGTTTGTAATTTAGAGGAAAAATGATATGATATATATGCATGCAACCGTGTTTGCATATACATGCATGCCACTCATGAATGAGATTTACTTGGTGGAAGTTTCCCTGTCGAAGTTGGAATATATCTATAATCTGTAGGGCGAAGCAAAAATGGAAATTTATCGTCATATTAGAAAAATAAGAGGCTATCCTACAAGTTTCTGAAACTGTTAAGTTTTCTTAATTCTTATGACATAGGGGGCTGCCATTACTCCCCCACAACTTTCTTCTTATAGCTCAGAAGTCATGGTGTGTTGTACTATCTCTAGATGCTAGTTCCATCTGATTATAAAGAAGACAGGTAGGTAACTAAAAACTTATCAGAGAAAGAAAAGGGGTAAAATGGAATATTGGAATTTGAGTAAAGCATGAGCTGAGCTGAGCTGAGACTGTGGAGACAAAAAAGGATAACTTACTATTTGATCAACAAAAAGTTTTCTTTCATTTTAGCCTCTTGGGTTAAACCAACAAAATGAATTCCCTGCGAAGAAGATTAGCTACATAGAAATTAGGGTTTTTGACCAAAAAATTGCAAATTTCAAAAAAATCCACTTGTCTAGTTTATTGACCAAACGTTTTACCGGATTAATGCAGGAAGATACGTTTCAGGTGATTACACGTTTAGTCGCGCACCAGACACATGCGCGTTTCTGACAAATCTGAACACGTCTGTACCAGGTGCGTGTTTCTGACAGTGAGGGGACATGCGTGCCTGAATATGACATATCTTGGTATTGTGCTCGTCAGACTTGTCGGAAACACGCACCTGGTACAGACGTGTTTAGACACGTACCTGATACAGACGTGTTCAGATTTGTCAGAAACGCGCATGTGTCAGGTGCGCGACTAAACGTGTAACTACCTGAAACGCGTCTTCCTGCATTAGTCAGTTGGTAAAACGTTTGGTCAACGAACTAAACAGGTGAATTTTTTTAAAATTTACATTTTTTTGTTCAAAACCCCTAGAAATTAGTAAGGATGCAAAATGAATTAATTTTCATTTTCATAAGGTTTATTATTAACGCCTTCATCAATTTCTTAACGGCTACTAGGCTAGGAGAAAAGGGTTTAGGTGGTGTTGTTTAGCATTTTTTGCTGAGTCCTTCAATCATAGAGTTTCTTTGCTTTGCTTTTTTTTTTTTTAGTCAATTAATTCTAGATTACTAGTAAAGAATAAAATTTTCCTTAGAAGAGTTGAAGTATATGTAATTTAGTACAAGGGTAAAATGTTTCAACATATATAACTTTGGACCAAACAGCTTGTCTGTACTTTGTAATATGCACTGGGATAGGAAATAGCTTTTGGCGTTTTACCATTGTGCATTGAATGGCTGTTGTCTTCCTTTTACCTAGGCAAGAACAAGGTAATTCTATATAAACAGTAATCCGCATGTATAAAATTACATTCATTTTTTTCATTAAATTTATGTCTTGATGTACATATACAATCTCATGACCGAGCATGTTTGTTGTGTTTATGTACATATATAAAGAGAAATGGGATGAGACTGTTAGAAGCATCTGGTGACCTCACCTTCCTGAACCCATCAGGCACCTAAAATCTCCAAAACCACATCACCATTCTTGTACTACAAATCCCCCCCTTCCCTTCGTACGTCTTCAAATTTTTCCCTTACAATTTATGAGTTTGTCAACATTGTTGAACTGGAAAGAAAGATAGCCACCCCTCGAGACTAACATGACCATCATGAACTACTTCCCCCTGTTCTTCCTCTACTGCATAATGCCCCTAGCATTTGGCAATGTGGAAATACATTCAGGTACAGAAAAAAAAAAAAAAAAAGACAACCTTATAATCCTTCATTGAAGCTTATGTTTATCATGTTTTTAGCAGGTCCTTCAACCAGTATTCTGCATTCTTCCCTTAAAGACAGAAACGGGTCCATAACAGTGTCAGTGAAAGCAGAACACGAACACCCTTTATCTAGAAAGTTTTTGTTGCGTGGTATTTATGGTAGTTCTAAATTTATAACCTTTATGTTTGATGAATGAGATGAAATTTTTCGTTTTGGTTCCCTTCTGAAAGTGTCTTTGATCCTCATCAGGTTCTTGCACAAACAGAGACATAAGCATCTCACAAAGTAGAGAGTCAACATCTGGAATCCCACTGTATGTTGTGCAAATAGTCAATACCTGTGTTTCTGAGTGTGCTCCATACGACATCCACCTCCACTGTGGCTGGTTTGCTTCTGCAAGAATAATCAACCCCAGATTGTTCAAGAGGCTCTCCTATGATGATTGTTTGGTGAATGGAGGGAAACCTTTAGCTTCTAGTCAGATCATCAGATTCACTTATTCCAATTCCTTTATGTATCCTCTTGCATTCAAGTCAGCCAAATTTTGTTGAGTCCAAAAAAAGAGTCCCCAAGTAATCAAAAAATAAAAATAAAAAGAGGTTTATATTTATGCAGCTGCTATACGTGCAAAGCAATCAAATACTTGCCATATATATACTTGAAAGCATTAAATATAGAGAATCATAACTACAAAGAGAATCATAACCATACAAAGGATGAAAACATTAAATATGGAGAATCCTAACCATATACCTATCATTGCTGTATGTAAAGTAAAGCGACCGCGAATAAAAATATATCCATATAACTATATATCTATACCCAAAACATAGACTTCAAAGAAACATAAGTAGAACCATCATCGCCTTAATCATATCCACAATCTTGTTTCTAACCAGTGAAAATATAGCACTTTGTATCTTTTTCTTTGAGTGATCTTAAATAAACAGGGTTTAGTATGATAATTAAAGCAGTGCTGGGGTCAGCAAAGACTAGGCTCACTAACCCACAGGAGAAAATAACAAGGATATTCAAGCAAAAAAAGGTACATCTCTTTCCCTCTCCATCTTCCTCGCTCACTGTTCTTAGTTGGAAAAGGTGGTCGCATCTCAGCATCCAGAGCTCACAATACTCTATAACAGAGTTTCAAGAATCAAACAACTTTGTACACCATCATTGGGTTACGTTCATTCTGTAAGCTCCTCAGTTTTTAGCCTATGCATTTGAGACCTGAAATTCTATCAAAAAGAAAGTATGCATGGAATAGCCTAAGATGTCAAATTTGTCACTTTTTTTGTCAAAAGATAACAGGGAAAAGGGATAAAAGAAAGTGGCCTTTTTGAGCGCTAACTTGAGTAGTTGCGAAGTATTGTTCTTTAGGAGTAAAGGTAAAAATAAACGGCTTATACATTTTTAATTGCATATCTCTATGCCTAACATGTCGAATTTCTGGACTAAGACATTACTTATAACACTCCAAGAAAACAAAGTATTAGAATATTAGATTAGATCGGAATAGAAAGGAAAGTCATCCCATCTAATTTTATAAGTTTTCTTATTTTATCATACAATTGGTTTGTTTCTAAATTAAAATATGATTTAGATTTGAATTTTTTTTTTTTACTTTTTTAAGAGCGCAGTAAATGAACTTTGAAATACACAATATATATAATACAAATTAATTCAAAGCATTAAATATCTCATCCCATAAGCCAATCGATACAAGCCTGAAATTAATATAACCAATTTCATATTTAACTATTGAAATAGGGTTTGTTTTTTATAGTAATGAATCTCATATAAATTACCAAGTCCCTCACCATTAACTCACTCCTAGTGACTTAATTATTGAAACAACTTATATAATTGTGATTTATTTTGTACCTTTATTAAGAATATCGGACTCTATATGAAACTTAATTTTCAATATAAAACACAAAATTATATAATTAAAAACAAGGCACAAAAAAAAATTCATATCAATCCAGAACTAATAAATTTATAAATAACATTAAAATATATGACTTAGATAATAAGACTATAAAAAACCAGCATGGTAATTTCATAAATATTTACTTGCATAAGTATGATTGATATGTCACTTTAGTTTGGATTCGAAAGGAAATATAAAATTTGACTTTTCACCTTCAGTTTCCAATTTTTGTGGTTTGTAATTTTGTATTGAATTAGATCAGTTTATACGAATATCTTCTTTTTTGTGCTGCCGTTATGACTTATAAACCATTGTAACTGAACATTACCTTTAGGAGAAGTTGGAAGACCCAAAAATCAAAATATTTATGAGAGTGGCGAAAGAAAAGGAATCACTCTTGAAAATAATTATTAGCTAAGTATAATATTGGATTTCTTTCTTTGCATTGCTCCTCTTAATTCAAGGATGACTCTGCTAAAAAGGAAGCGAGAATACAAAGAAAAATATTTAAATAATAGAAGTGCTTCTAAATAACAAATAATCTACAAAAATTGCATAAAAGCTCCTTATCTTCCACTTGGGTTCACAATTTGTGAATAGATTGCGCTAGAACTCGAGTCATCAAGCTCGCTGCCTATAATCCCCTCCTCAATGTCTAATATAGGGTAATGCTAAGCATAAACATCATTTGCCTTATCTTCTGCTTCTTGTTTCCCTACATGAGGATTCTCCTGCAACTGAAGTGCAAACTCAAGTTTCCATAGCACATCACCCATTGAAGGGCGTTCGAAGCCATGATCAGCTACACACTTCTCAGCTGTCTCCGCAAACTTCTTCAAACACTCAGGGCTAATTTTTCCTTTAAGACGATGATCAATACTATCTTCAGGAGTACCCTTCTTTAGGTTCAGTAGAGCCCAATCTGCTAAGCTAACTTGTTCTTTAGGCATGCCAGGATCAAGTGCTGGCCTTGCACATAAAACCTCAAAAAGGACTACCCCAAAAGAGTAAACATCAGATTTTTCTGTTAGTTGTTGCCTTCGAAAGGTACTCAGGATCTAAGTAACCAAAACTACCTTTAACCATTGTGCTCACGTGGGTTTGGTTTAGATTGGGACCATTGTGCTCACGTGGGTTTGGTTTAGATTGGGTTTGGTTTACAAGAGCATCATAGTATTCTGGCTTCATTGACATTGAAGGGTGCAATGCCACACACAGTTCTTCATCACCCGGTCCATCCATTACATAAATGGCAAAGTCCTTAAAAACAGGAACATCTTTCGACCCTGCCCACCCAATAACATCAGCAGCTGCTTGAGCAGTTTGATTGTTAAGGTAAATGTCAAACACTCTCTTGTTAATTTTGGTGAGTCCCAGCTCACAAAAATGGAACCTCACCACATATGTGAAATTTGCATCAACCTGAAATACCCAACTAAGGTTATAGTTCAGATTCACATTAGAATTAGGACCCATTGATCTTGCAGTGCTGTAAACATATTCAGGAGCAATGTATTCTGGCATAGAAGAAGAAGGGTACTGAATTTTAACATTCTTATCAGCTGCATAAGTAACCCCAGTTGCTGCACCAAACAGATAAGGGGAATCATCGTACCATGTCCTGCTAAGACCAGAGTCATTGTTGGGTGCAATATATTGCCCACCAACGTTCAATCGGAACATTGTCTACAATGAGTTACTTGCAACGTCAAGAGATTGGTCAGTGGAAACAAACATTGCTGACTGGAACAGATCTGACATAGGGATGATCTCAATGCCGTTAATGAAAGCATATGATCCACCATGTTGTGAAGAGGGTGTGAAGGTGATGTTTAGTTTAACTGATTGGACAGGTACTATAGAGAATTCTCTAATGAAATAGGCTTGTGTCAGAGCTTGGGATGTAAAGTAAGCACTGAAATTGTTGAGGAGAGTGAACCCGTTTGCAACAACAGCTAAATATGCATTGGAGGGATTAAGATTACCGTAAGTAGATGGGTAAAAATGGAGTCGAACCCAGAGGCTCTGCTTTGGTGAAACAGGGAATTGGTATGTGGATGGAGAAGTGAAAATCCTTGCAGACATGTAAGGTATTTGGGAAGGAAGAGAAGGATCTTGGTGTTGTGCTGTTGAGTTTGTTGCCTTATCGGAAGTGGTTACTAGATATTCAGAATCTGGCACCCAGTTTCGTCCATTAGAGTCAGTTCCACCAGTGGAAGAACCACAAGAAATTATGAAAGAATCAGAAGGTGGTGCAGATTTTTCGGTTGTGTTTAAGACGGAAGAAACGATAATTAGAGAAAACAAGCATTGGTTATTGGGTCTCATGGCTGTACATGCGTGAGACAGGGAAGTATGTGATATAGTACATGTAAAGGGGTTGTAAGGAGAAGGAAAAACGTAGAAATTCACAAGAATATCTCAGGAATTAAAATGAAGAATAAATTCGGAGGAGATAAAAGTTTTCCTTTGGTTCTCTCTCTTTTCTCTTTCTTTCCCTGCGACTACAAGCAACGCGAGCGTTAGATGGAAAGAGGAGGTTAGATTGCGTATAAAGCCTCTCATTTTGCGTTTCAGCATTAAGGATACGGTGATAAAATACCCAATGGGTCCGTTTGGATATGGCTCGAAAAAAAATATTTTTTGTGTTATTTATATTAAAAGTATTTTTTATAAAAGTTAAAGCTATTTAACTTTTTTAAAGTAAATTTGATTTTTTTTAAAAAAAAATCGGCTTCTTACTTCTACTTTTTCTAGAAACAAAAAAATTTAACTTTCAAAAAAAATATAATTTTAATTTTTTTTGGTGACTTATATTTTTTTAAAGCAGATATTCAAATAAAATTTGTAATAAATGTGCTTTTTTTGTTGTTAAAAAAAATAGCTTTTAGCTAAAAAAAACTTATACAAACAAGCCGTAAAACACGAATGTACAAATCAGTTACATGCATATTTTTGTGAAAATAATTATATTTATAAATTAAATAATTTATAAACTATTACAACTAAATTTTAACCGATGAATTATAATTTATTAATTTTATCGGCAAGTATAATTTGATAAAATTGCCAATACCTTTTTAAACAAACATGCAACTTTAAGCGACATGACAACACAAGTTTAAATTATTACACCGATAAACTTCTAGTACTTAAGCCACTTTAAATTTTTCAAGAATAAGATGAAATGAAAATATCAGAGTTTAAATCCATCAAACCGCCTATTACATTTCTTTATATATAGCAATATTTTATACCTGAATTCATAAAAAAAATCCAAATTGAATTAAAGTACAAAAGGCCCCGAATAAGAAATTGGTAAGCCCCCTTTTGTCACTTTGCAAGAGGAATCTCGATTAATCAACACGCAAGCATCTTCACCACAATAAAATTAAACGCTAACAGCAGAAACAAGAGACATAGAAGGTTCATTACCCATGACCAATCCACTGAACCTCACTTCAAACTTTTTCTTCTTCATCTTCACGGTGACCATCCTCTACGTGGCTTACACCTTCCCAAGGCTCCAACCAAATCAAACCAACCTCGTCTTCTATGTCCACGACCACTTCAGCGGCGAGGACACCACGGCAGCCACCGTGGCCGGAAAGAGTGGACCCAGCTCTAGTATCCTACAGTTCGGCACCGTGGCAATCGTGGATGACCCAGTAACAGATGGAGCCAGCATAGAGTCAACACTCATTGGTAGGGCCCAGGGCGTGTACATAAATTCGCAGCTTGACGGTAAAGGCTTGTACATGGTTTTTTCAGTGATCTTCACCGGTGGTGAGTTCAAAGGAAGCAGCTTGGAGATTCAGGGATCAGATATCTTCACGATGAAGGAACGAGAATTCGGAGTTGTGTCCGGCACTGGTTATTTTCGTTTTGTTAAGGGGTATGGGATTATGGAAACAGAGTTCATGGATATAGCTAATCTTAGAGCTACTCTTAAGCTCAATGTAACAGTCAAGCATTATTAGGAAAACTTTTATGTTTTCTGAGATTTAATTTCTGTTGAGAATATTCCAGATCAAAGAGTGGTTTTTACAATTGACATCTTATGCTGTATGCTTTATATAAAAAAATATTGTCATTTATTGAGCTGCTAAGATTATCAATCCATCTACCTAATCCACTGAATTGAAGAAAATACGTGATTGGCATAATAATTATGCTCTTTTTATTTATCCTCTGGTTTTGGAATTATATATTAATGAAAAGAAAACAGATGTAGAAAATTTTCATATTGAACTTACATCCTATTATCTGACAAAAAAAAATAATTTATTGTTTTTTTAATAAAAAAATTACAAAAATATAGTCGTTTTGAAATTATTTACGCAAATATAGCACTCAAACACGCTCACATGAGGCACGTTCCAAAGAAGAGAGACACACCCATGTGGGGCGTGATTCATACGAGAGACACGCCTATATGGGACGTGATCGGGCAAAATTTTTATTATGCTACGGTCGCACCATTCATTGGGTGCGACCCACCAATTAAAATCAGAGTGAGAAGATGTAAATTGTACGGGTGAGAAGTTAAAAAAATAAAATAATCCAAATGTCAAAAGGTGAATGGAAGTCGTACGTGCGTCTATTGCATTGAAAAAGCGCTCGTGATCAGGAGAGACACGCCCTAAAGGGGCGTGAGTGGTTTGGAGAGAGAGACACTCCCCATTTGGGCGTGTTTCACCAGGTGTTGTCACGTGTCACAAGAGTCCATCGACAGTTTGACCATAAAATTTTGGAAGTCCATAACTTTTGACTCGGGTGTCCGAATTAGGTAAAAAAAATTTGATTCCACATAACTTTTCGAGATCTACATAATGACACCTCATTTGGCATACTTTGTCTGTCACAAATTTTTTTGAATTTACAACAATGATACTCTAAGAATGTTTAAACTCAAATTAATAAAGAGAAAACCACTTTTTAATTAGGTTAAAAAATAGGAGAAAGTTATAGTTACTACCTCTTTTATTAATTTGAGTTTTAACCTTCTCCTAATTAAAAAGTAATTTTCTCTTTATTAATTTGGGTTTAAACGTTCTTATAGTATCATTGTTGTAAATTCAATTTTTTTTTGTGACAGACAAAATATGTCAAATGAGGTGTCATTACGTAGATCTCGAAAAGTTATATGGAATCAATTTTTTTTACCTAATTCGGACACCCGAGTCAAAAGTTATTGACTTCTAAAGTTTTACGGTCAAACTGTTGACTTTTATGCCACGTGGTAGCATCTGGTGAAACACCCCAATGAGGAGTGTCTCTCTCCTGGGTCACGCCCAAATGAGGAGTGTCTCTCTCCAACCGGTCACTATGGGACGTGTTTGAGTGTTATATTTTCGTAAGGTTTTGTCATGATTAATTATAAGGTTTATTAGTTATGTTAAAAAAAATTGTTTATTTATATGCTGTCCTTTTTCTATATTCTCAAAATATTTATAGGTCACAAGAATCAAACTCTTGACAGCATAATTATAACAATTTTAATATAATTTTATGCATAAACCTTATAAAAAGTTCAAGTTGTTAAGATGTATAAGTAATTTATATCTATCGTAAACTAAAAAAATTGTGCCAACAAATTATGTTCAAATTAGTCGTTAAATATTTTATTAGTCATCATCGATCATAATAATTAGTTTTTTGTTGTTGTTGTAATTGCTCTAGTCTAGCCAATCTTGTGAGCATTAAGAGGGATAGCATTGAAATTCATCAACTAAAAACCGGTATTGGTGGGTAGTCTATTTCAATTTCGTGCAAATGACCCATACCACGTATTCTTTTTTTATAAAAAGAAGAGTAAAGACTCAAATTGGTCCCTGACAAAAAACTCGGTGCCCAAATTAGTCCCTCACAAAAATAAACTCGTTAGATAGTCCCCAACAAAGTGAAACAGGACCCACATTAGTCTTTCTGTCAATCCAAAACTCACGGTGTCAATGACGGTGATGACGTGTCACGTTAAGTGACATGCTGGAGGCCACGTGGGTTGAGGAACGATGTCGTTTTGAGAGACTCATCCACGTTGGTCAGTATGGTCCCTAACAGTTTTAACAAAGGGGACCATTATGGTCCCTAACATTTTTATCGGGGTCCTTTTTAGTCCCTGCTAAAGTTCTGTTAACACCAGTGCCACCATTTGCTATTAACACACCAGCAATGTCATTTCCCCTTGTACATGCTGATATTAGTCATGCATAACACAATCAACTTCTACATAATTCACACCATGACATTCTTAGTTTAGTCTTTATATATTGTTTCCATTCCTTTTTTTATCTCCATCGAGTTTATACAACATTTTGTGCTAATAAACATAACTTCAAATACATAAGTCAAGCTACATACATTGAATGAACAACAATTCATTACACAAGCAAATCTCAACAGAACCACATTTTAAATTTCACTCTAGCCTACTTGCAAGATATATACATACTAGAAACACAACAATAATGGATCCAGCAAACACCCTAGCACACATACACACATGCATCATTTCCTTCTCAACACCCTAGCAAACACCCATACACACATACACACCAGCAAACACCCTAGCACACATACATACATACACACATGCATCATTTCCTTCTCAACACATGCACACATAACTTCAAATACATAAGTCATGCTACATACATATACACATATACACATATACACAAACACCTTATCACATATACACATACACATAACTTTTTTTACTCCAGCAAGTGTTGAGAAAGAAATGATGTGTTGGGGTTGTTTGGGTTCTGAATGCCCTCCAACTACTACTGCACAATATGTTGTGTTTTACTTTGGTCTCTACGTTATTGCACTTGGAACCGGTGGTGTAAAAGCATGCGTGTCACCTTTTGGGGCAGATCAGTTTGATGATACTGATCCCAAGGAAAGGGTTAAGAAGGGATCCTTTTTCAACTGGTATTACTTTTCTATCGACTTAGGTGCCGTTGTATCATGCAACTTAATTGTATGGATTCAAGACAATGCAGGATGGGGTCTTGGATCTGGATTCCTGCTTTAATTATGGGATTATCTATTGGAAGTTTCTGTTTAGGAACACCTCTATATATGTTAGGGTGTTTATGTATATGTGTATATGTGTATATGTATGTAGCATGACTTATGTATTTGAAGTGATGTGTGTATATGTGTGCATGTGTTGAGAAGGAAATGATGCATGTGTGTATGTGTGCTAGGGTGTTTGCTGGTGTGTATGTGTGTATGGGTGTTTGCTAGGGTGTTGAGAAGGAAATGATGCATGTGTATATGTGTGCTAGGGTGTTTGCTGGATCCATTATTGTTGTGTTTCTAGTATGTATATATCTTGCAAGTAGGCTGGAGTAAAATTTAAAATGTGGTTCTGTTGAGATTTGCTGGTGTAATGAATTGTTGTTCATGCAATATATGTAGCATGACTTATGTATTTGAAGTTATGTTTATTGGCACAAAATGTTGTATAAACTCGATGGAGATAAAAAAAGGAATGAAAACAATATATAAAGACTAAACTAAGAATGTCATGGTGTGAATTATGCAGAAGTTGATTGTGTTATGCATGACTAATATGAGCATGTACAAGGGGAAATGACATTGCTGGTGTGTTAATAACAAATGGTGGCACTGATGTTAACAAAACTTTAGCAGGGACTAAAAAGGACCTCGATAAAAATGTTAGGGACCATACTGGTCCCCTTTGTTAAAACTGTTAGGGACCATACTGACCAACGTGGATGAGTCTCTCAAAACGACGTCGTTCCTCAACCCACGTGGCCTCCAGCATGTCACTTAACGTGACACGTCATCACCGTCATTGACACCGTAAGTTTTGGATTGACAGAAGGACTAACGTGGGTCCTGTTTCACTTTGTTGGGGACTATCTAACGAGTTTATTTTTGTGAGGGACTAATTTGGGCACCGAGTTTTTTGTCAGGGACCAATTTGGGTCTTTACTCTAAAAAGAATTCGTTGATATTGTGTTTATTACAGGAAAAACTTATAATCCTCCATATGAAACAAAAAAATTGTGAGACACAAATTAAAAAAAAAGAAAAGCTGATGGGATAGATTTTTGTATCTGCAGCCTGCAGGAGTGGAATAGTTTCTCGTGCTCATTCCCCTTATTTTTATAGTAAATAAGTAAGAATTGTTTTATTTATAAATTTTAGTTATTCAATAATATAATACACGTTAAATTAAATTAAATATAGATACGTTTTAATTATTTTATTTTAAAGATAAGTTCACTTTAAATTTTCTATTTACTTTTATATAATAAAAATATTACGGAGATAAAGTGATAAAATCAACATCACTATTGTCTCAAATTAATTGCTGGATAGAACACTCAGAGATGTTTTTAGATTTTCTGACACGAGTTACGTTGATATGTCATTTGGTGGAAAAATTGTAGTTCTAGGCGGTGACTTTCGGCAAATATTACTTGTCATTTCTCACGGCAGCAGACAGGAGATAGTAAATGCAACCATAAATTCTTCTCATCTATGGTTCTATTGTCATTTATTAACTTTGACCAAGAACATGTGTCTTAGTTCTGGAAGTACCACCGATGATGTGAAGGAAATAAGAGAATTTTCTGAGTGGCTACTTAAAGTTGGGGATGGTGATCTTGGAGATGATGAAGATGGAGAATCGATGATAACAATTCCAGATGAATTGTTGATTACAACATCAGATGATCCCGTTTCAGATATGGTTAATTTTGTTTATCCGAATCTCTTGGATAATATTTTAGATCCAACGTTTTTCAAAGAACGTGCTATCTTAACTCCTAAATTGTCCGATGTTGCTATGCTGAACGAGCACCTGATGTCGATGATTCCTGAAGAAATGATATTTTTGAGTTCTGATAAAATTCTGAAGCAAGATGTGGCTTCCTCTGTTGAAGATGATGAATTCACACCTGAGATCTTAAATACATTATCGTGTTCGAGGATTCCTGATCATAAATTAACCTTGAAGGTTAAAGTTCTAGTAATGCTATTGAGAAATATTGATCAGTCCAGAGGTTTGTGCAATGGCACAAGGCTGCTCATTACAAAATTGGGGGATCATGTTGTTCAGGCAATTGTTCTTACAGGAAGCAATATATGTGAAACTGTGTTAATCCCTAGGCTGACGATGAGCCCATCAAGTCACACATTTCCTATAAACTTCCAAATAAGACAATTCCCTCTGATTGTTTCATTTGCCATGACTATCAATAAGAGCCAAGGACAATCTCTTTCTCATGTTGTAATTTATCTCCCCAAACCTGTCTTCACTCATGGGCAATTATATGTGGCACTGTCTAGAGTAAAGAGCAAGCGTGGATTGAATATATTGATACTTGATGAAAACGGTTGTCACAAATAGTACCCTTAATATAGTTTACAAGGAAGTATTTCAAAGATTAATGTCGTGAATTTCCTTCAGTCTACTATGACATAACATCACTGCTTGGTACAGGTAAAGACAAAAAAAAATGGCAATGGAGTGTTTTTTTACTTATTTTCGTTACCGTTTGGTTTTTTTAACTGCTAACTTTTTCTACTCATACAGAAATCATTTTTCATACACACATGCTATTTTTGAACAAAGAATATTCCATCGTCATGAATATATGGAGGTATTGTTATGACAGTTTTTATTTGTACTCATTTGTTCGTGTGCCTTTTTCTTTCATACTTTGATTTGTACATTATTACTCATTGATTCCTTTTATACTGAAGGATAAAAAATGCAGGTTTAGCATCTTACATGTGTTGCGTTAGTTCTCACGAGACAAACAAATTGATTTTTTTCTTCTTCCGTGCAATACACGGGTAATTCACTAGTATAAAATTATAAATATGTACAAGTAAATCCTTGGTTGGCTAAAATATACTAATACTAATGTAGATGAAACTAGTGAGCATATTTTTAATAAAAATGATGACCAACGAAAAATAAAAGTATGATTTAACGTACATTGGGTCAGGTCATGACTCAGTTCCACCAATCTAGCAATTCTGCTCCTCCTCCTAGACCAACCAGCCCCAAGTGCATCTTCTTTTACGCAAATGAAGTAAGTAAAATGTGTGCAGCGAAACATGGACAACGACAATGTGGAATGATTTATAACCAATAAAATAAAACTAGTCATAGTCGTGACTCGTGAACTAACTACCATTCGCCACGTGGCCACTCTCAACTTCATTACATAATAAAACTGCTCTCTAGCCCTCTGTCCGAATTTCAAGCATTTTCCTTCTTCCCACTCGATTCTACGAAGCGAGTGAATCAGGTACACTCTAATTCCCGCTTCTCTCTCTCTCTCCCTCTCTTTTGCGATCTCAGATCTCCGTTCCGTTTCTCCTCTGTGGATTCCAATCCCGTCATTGTGAGTTAACGTTTTCACCATTTGGATTCTGTGTTTTCGTTGCGCGCTGAACAGTGATATGCTGCATTCCTAATTCTCCATTCGTTGTTTCTTTTTTTGCTGAGTTTGAAAACTGCGGAATTTCAGAAAATCTGCGTATTCACGATATCCTCTCTCTCTCTCTCTCTCTCTCTCTCTCTCTCTCTCTCTCTCTCTCTCTTTTAATTTTGATGTTAGAATCGAAATTTCGGTTTCCGTGGATCGTTTGGAGTTTGGGAAATCTTAATGGATTCCGTCGCGTGCATTGCGGCAGATTTGGTTTTGCTTAGAGATCCGGCGGGTTACGTTTTTGTGGGTTTGATGAGCCTTAGCTTTTAGTTAATTTAATTAAATGTCTCGTGCCACGTCTGTTTTGTTGGGGTAGCTGTTTGGAAGTTCAAAACTTGTTTTGGTTTTGCATCTGCTCCGTTGATAAGTTTGCTTATTGTGTTTCCCTTTTTGCGAATTCAATAATGCACTTTTGCATCATTTTTTTTCTTGTGGTTATTTGCTAAAGGGAATGAGTAATGGGTTTTGTTTTTCTTTGTAAATGTGTTTGCTGTATGTGTTGCTCTTTTTCTTTTCTAGTTAAAGAGATTTCATAGTCTGGTTTGTTCTCTTCCTTTTCTGAGTGTGATAACTTCATGCCTCGTGGATTTTTGGCTTTTTTCGCATTATGAGTCTGGTTGATCTCTTTTGTTTTGTTACATCACTAATCCATATGTCTTTTTGATTGTTTATTTATTAATCCTTTGATCTTGGAATAGTTACATGTAACTATTAGCCGAATGAGTCAGTCGACCTTAAGAGCCACGTTGCTATTTTATAACCTACGTATCTTAAATAATTTATCTTCTTAAATTTGCATGTTGCATTTATGTTTGATCCTGGAGAGAGATATCAATCTCCATGTGTGATTTTGACTGGATTAGAGAATACGTTATAATTTTTTATATTTTAATTTTATTTATTTATTTATATTACATTTTATGCTTACAAGGATTTCCTTCACCCCACACCCGCTAGTCAGGTTTAACGAGGAGTGTTTTTTTTTTTTATATTACATTTTAAATATCACTTTTGGTATGGTCCCAAATTTTCCTTTAAACAGTTAATAGTTTCTATTGCAATCTAGAAAGTAATGCACTGGTATGTAATCAGATCTATCTGTTTCTTCGTCATGGCCACTGGACAACTATTCTCCCGTAATACACAAGCTTTGTTTTACAACTACAAGCAACTTCCCATCCAGCGGATGCTTGATTTTGACTTTCTTTGTGGTTTGTATCATCAACTTTATCATCTTAATATTCTTCCAGACAAATAGTAGCAAATTATAGAGTTACATTAATCTGTTTTTAATATTAATGGAATCTCCAATTTTGTATTCACAGGTAGGGAAACACCATCAGTTGCTGGAATAATTAATCCTGGTTCTGAGGGATTTCAAAAGCTCTTTTTTGGTCTGGAGGAAATTGCAATCCCAGTTCATGCTGCGTATGTGTTGTTCATTCATAATTCACTAACTGTTCTTTTTCTGCCTTAAATTTGGATTTGGTGACTTGAACACAGTCAAGGAGTGCTTTTTCTTCATTTTGGTGATCTCCTTACTATTTGCTACATGCTACTGAAATATAATGTAGCCTGTAATGAATGACATTCTTGTTTGTCTGATTGTAATGTGTTCTTGGCCCATATGTTGACTTAATTTGCAGCATCGAAGCAGCTTGTGCTGCTCATCCTACTGCTGATGTGTTCATCAATTTTGCATCATTTAGAAGGTTTGTATTATTACTATTAAATTATTCATTGTTTTGAGTCTAGGGGCATCTTATTGCATGGTGCAATGAGAAAAGTTTGATATACTTGCAGTGCTGCTGCATCATCCATGGTCGCTTTGCAGCAGCCAACAATTAGAGTTGTTGCTATTATTGCTGAAGGTGTACCTGAGTCAGACACTAAGCAATTGATTGCATATGCTCGGGCAAACAATAAGGTGAAATGAGAAATGGAAATTCAAATAAAATAAAATCAACTTAATAGCTGATTAAATTAACCTGGAAATACTTATTTTAGTGCTGATGATGTGCTAGGTTGTTATTGGCCCAGCCACTGTTGGAGGCATTCAAGCTGGTGCTTTTAAGATAGGTGACACAGCTGGAACAATTGACAATATAATTCATTGCAAGCTCTATAGGCCTGGATCTGTTGGATTTGTTTCTAAATCTGTATGTAGTTATTCACTTCCCGTTTAATTCATTGTCATCTTTCTCATATTGAGAATAGACCTTTTTATCTAATACTCAAGTGAAAGAATCAAAGAGATTACTTGCCTTTTAATAGTTTGGTGAACACTCATTCTCATTGTTGATTTCAGAATGGAAATTAAGGTTTAAGAGTGATGTATCTATTTATTACTAGAACTGCAGTGCTACTTAATAGCCTAACACTTGGTAATTAACTTTCATGATAGGATTTGTATTATTAGTAGCTATTATCCCCCCCGCCCCCTACCTATTGATAAATAATGGGAAGGGGAGCCTTGTCACAACTGTTAGAGTTGCCGCCATGTGATCTAGAGGTCACAACTTTGAACATGTAATCATCCTCTTGCAAATGCAAGGTAAGGATGCCTACTAAAGACCCACACAATGTGTCTGACCCTCCCTTGGATCCTACTCAAAGCGGGAGCTATATAGCATGAGGTTTCCCTTTTATTGATAAATAATGGCGCTAGCTAATATAGCTAAGATGATGTGCTTACATTTTGCAAGTGAAATTGCTTTTCTCCAATGTTAGATTACCGAATGGTGGTTTATAGTCACTAGAAATTTGGAATTTGAGCTTTATTTCTTTTGGTATGGTCTAATGTATACACTGATGGTTTTGAGAGAAGACAGCCTTATTGAAATGCAGGGTGGGATGTCCAATGAATTATACAACACTATTGCCCGTGTAACTGATGGAATTTATGAAGGTACTGCTGAATTTATCTTTCCGTATTTCCTAATGCTAGTTTTGAGTTATATCCTGTTTTGTAATAGGCATTGCCATCGGAGGAGATGTTTTCCCAGGTTCCACACTTTCTGACCATGTTTTGCGGTTTAACAACATACCACAGGTAAATTTTTGCTTTCATATTGGGGTACTGCATATAATATCTGCAATTCTTAAAGAATTGCCAATATTTTGGATTATATCTCTTTCTTGTCAATGACCTGTCTGCATTCACATTATACTTAACCTCAGGTTAAAATGATGGTAGTACTCGGGGAACTTGGTGGGCGTGATGAATATTCTCTAGTGGAAGCCATAAAACAAGGGAAAGTAACCAAACCAGTTGTTGCCTGGGTTAGTGGAACCTGTGCACGACTCTTCAAATCTGAAGTACAATTTGGTCATGCTGTATGTCACTGCTCCATTATCTTTGACTAATTCTCAATTAAAGCATTTATCACAAGGAGGCTAAACTCCTAACGTCCATTGGCACTTGTATAAATTAGGGAGCTAAAAGTGGTGGTGAGATGGAGTCTGCTCAAGCAAAGAATCAGGCACTGAGGGAAGCTGGAGCTGTTGTTCCCACTTCATATGAAGCTTTTGAAGCTGCAATAAAGGAAACATTTGACAAACTGGTTAGTTTATCTTGAGATTTTCCATCTCTCTAACTGACATTTTTACCTTGTCCCCATCCCCTGAAGGATTGAACATTTTAATGAAGTCTCTTCATTTTCTTATATTAGCTATAATATCATAGTTGGCTTTTCTTTTGTTAGGTTGAAGAAGGGCAGATCACGCCAGTGAAGGAATTTACTCCTCCACTAATCCCTGAGGACCTTAACACTGCAATTAAGAGTGGAAAAGTTCGTGCTCCAACTCATATTATTTCCACCATCTCTGATGATAGAGGTATGTTGGGATGCATTGATGTTGTATGTAAGTTGCAACTTAGAAATGAGGTGTCTTTCTTTTTGCTTCC